AGTTTTAATTGTTATTCAGTGTTAGATTATTGTTGTATATTTTTATTGAACTAATACTGAACCTAGAACAAGAAACATTCGGGTTTAGCCGTTTTAAAAGACGTGTGGCTAAATCCGAATGTAGTTCTAATATTAGTGTTAGTTCTTGTTTTAGTTGTTATTCAGTCTATTAAGACGGCTAAACTGAAATATACTTTACCGAAAAAAAATTTCATTTTTATTTTATTTTATTTTTCTAATTTTTAATAATTCTCATATTAAACTGTTTGGCTTTGAAGCGCATCAAATAGTTTTCCATAATCAATGTTTATACATCACTTAAAAATAGAGATTTCAAACTTTCATCCGAGCTATAAATCATTTATCTATCTTCATAAATAAAGTGGGAATCTAAGTTCTTGCAAAAATAATAAACGTACCGAATCACTTCCCAACTTCTTCGGAAAGTAGATGTTTATTTCTGACATTGAGTCAACACAAATACTGGTATTTATTATTATTTATGTGTTTAAGTGATTTGACAAATTGGAACATTTTTGGACGAGAGATGAGTTTGCAACCTCTATAAATAAAACATTGTTATTAATATACTACATTATATTTCCTTTTTTTTTTAATAATCTGGCTGACACAGACCTAAAATTAGTATACAAATTTAGGATTTATATTAAGAGTGATGTTTAATCCTGTATGACATCATCGTTAATATATATCCTAAATTTAATGTAAACTTAGAATAGTATCCATCATTGAAAATAATTCTTAATGAAGCAAGAAAATATCAGTTAACTTTGTCATCTATAACTAACTTCAAATATCCTTTACATACATATATATATCCACGTGAATTTAATTATTATAATTATTAACTCGTTATTCCCTTGCACAAAGACTTAACTAAATAAAAAAAAACATTTTTTTTCTCTATTTTCTCATTCTTGCATCATTGGATGTTCACGGAGCTGGATGCAAATTCTACAAAGTGTATCTCGGTACGCCCTACATTTTTCAATTTCCTCCTACTTGGCCAAAACAAACCCAAAAAATTTAATACCCATTGAGCTATGAATTGGGCGACTTTGTTTGGAATTCAGATGTCTTATATATATGTCGTGTATATGTTAATTAATTTAAAGGTAACATTTAGCGTTAATATCATGCTTAATCACCAACTCTAATATTGCATCTCGTCTATCCTGCGTTAGATTCGCCACTTTATTTTCTTCATTCTCCACATTAATTCACTTCTACTTAATCAAATGTAATAGCGACAGTTGTACTTTTGTGTGAATGCTTCCCCCTCAATCGTCTTCATCGGAGCACCCTCCCACAGATAATGAAAAGCCAACCTAAACGTGATGCACAATCTTCGATCAGTATCTGGGTACTGCCCATACCAGTTTTTCCAATGTTATTAATGACGGAAATAAGGTCTCTCACAATAGCTAGTTAAAAAGCGAGCTTGGCGCTAACCTTAGAGAATTTATTGCTCTGTTTTGTCGTAGTTGCAAAGTATTCTTAGCAGATAAGTGCTTTACGAGGCTACTTAGAAACTTGCACAGATTAAATCATTTTACCCCAGATAGTCGCTTTGTTTTAATAAAATAGAAGAACTAATACCTTACATGCAATTGTATTAATCGCTAATTTGATAACTAAATATCATTACGGGTCATTAGTTTTGCTATGGCAATTGTTTATCAAATCGAAACCCCAATTTCCGGTGTCATATTCTGTGAATGCATCTCAACACCAAACCAACTTTTTCAGAAGTGGTTCTCTTTTTCGAAATGTAACAAAAGTAACTTTCTAATTTGTCGCAAAATTTCGATGGTTTATGTTCATAGAAATTTTCCATAATGTATAATAACTTGCGTGAGTTTAAAATTCTATCTCGTTTGGTGATTTTATTTCAACAAAAACTCTTTGAATCTCTAAGACTAACTGCTCCTAAATGATCTGGAAACAATGATTTAACTACTCGGTTAACTAATGAATGAGCGTAAATGAAGATAGTTGAACTAGGCTCTATGTGCGTGGATGTAGAAATGTGTATAAACAATAATGGTTATTACGCACCACTTAAATAATTTAATTAAAAATAAATAATAGCTTTTTTGCCATCTAACATTAAGTTGTTCCTTAATGTACCGGATTATGCCGCAACATTATTGCGTGAAAATCAGAGCTGTTCAACAACAAATGTTAATTTTACAAATATAACGTTTTTTAACTTTGAGAGAAAAAAAAGTAAGGTTTACGTTTTCTCTTTCCTTCCCAATCAGTTAGCTTCTGTATATCGATGTTTACAACTGTTTACATTTCAGACATTCAAGAAACAAAAAAAAACGATGCGATAAAATTAACATCAACAAATAGTTGTATAAATAGTGTTGATGCAACATTCTTATACAAAATTTTAATCAACATGATGAATTTTTAAGATATTGCTGATTTTCTATTTTTATGTTTTCGTCAAAGTTGAAATTCTCTTCTGTTTATACCAGGGTTACCACCATATATGTAGTGAATCCAAACATTAAACTAAGATTAGAACTAAAACTAGAACTAACACTAGAAACTTTCGGGTTTTGCCGTGCGTCTTTTAATAAAAGGTTTGACGTTTCGGATGCCATGTTGCAACCTTCTTCAGAAACTAGTTCACTTTAGAAGGTTACCAGAAACTAGAGAAATTAGAAATATCGCTGAAATATTTTAACAAAAGTCAGAAATAACTTTATTACAGTATTTAGAAATGCCAGAAAGGTGGCAGAAAGACTATTTTCCGGAAATAAGCTCTAAAAAATCAGAAGTTTGAATTGAAATTTCATTTTGCCTTTAATTTTGCTTAGGTTTTGGCTCATCTAAATGAATATACACACACTACATTACATTCTTGACATAAATTCTGAAATGGATCTGGGCCCAAAAATTTAATAGACAATATTATAACCTGAAGAAAAATACGAAAGTTATACTTTTGAGGTTGTTTTGAATACAACTAATGACTACAAAATGTTAACTCGTAATGGACAGTAAGAATACGCTTTTATACATGGATTGAAAACCAAAAATTTGAAAACCACAACTCTTATTCTTTTTCATTCGGGTTGATCTTTTTTGTGATGATTGCAGAATTTCAAAAAATTATATATCATAGATTTCATGGAAATAAATATTTTTTTCCGGTAATATATGAGAATAAAAAGACCAGCTCTATAAAATAAGGGCATTTCTAGCATCAATAACATGATCATTTTGACAACTTTTTCAGCCCCTGTTGTACTTTGGCTGTCAAAGCAATGATTGGTGTCAAAGATAGGTTACATTTCAACCAATACCTGCTAGTGACACCAATAGAATAAGTCATAAAAGTGTAGGTGTTGGCAGACACTACTACAGAATATGTACTAAATGCCAAAGTATACTTAGCGGGAAAAAAGGTGTGTGCTACTTGTTACTGTCATTATTCATATTTTGGTAACATCTATCTGACTTGCAAACTTATCAAAATCAACCTTTTTATCTTAAAAACGTCCCTTTGAGTTTCGGAAACTTAAGGCGTTGTTATTGGCACAAGCATCAAGGAAGACAACACGTGGTAAAATGACGACCATAGTTTGGCAACACAAATGGGATATTATTTTAATGTTTTCCAATTGCGATTCGCCATTAGAAGAAACGATCGCCAGAAAATCTGGTGGGGTACAACAAAAATTGATAAGTTCATGTCTATTTACTGTTAAATTACATCTTCCATTTTGTATTGCATTCTATATCTTCTGACCATTCGACCAACTTCATTCTAATGCCAATCAATCATTAAAGCTTAGAAAGAAATCAGTTTAATATTTAATAGGAATGCTTACACCCCCAAACAAGAATAGGAAGCAAAATGCAAAAATACATTCCAATTACACCCTTATCTCTCACGTTGGTTGCTTTTTAAAATTTCTGGCAGAACTTATACTTTATAAATTATTGCTTTTCTGCAAAATGGATAATTTATATTGCAATATCTGCTTTATTTGTCATAAACGTTAGTATTAAACTTCACCAATCCTAAAATCAATTTTAAATAGTCTTGTAAGATTACTAAGAAATTATACAACAGATTTCTAATGGAAATTTGAGATATATTGCAAATTGGATTAATAATGAACTGAACATCATGCAATGAGAGATTTACAGAAACTGGAGCTTTGGGATGAAAAGAGTATAAAGTATAAATATGTTCTATTACATATCTCTACACTTTAGTACGATTTCTTTTGAGCTGTTTAACTATCCAATTGCAACCCTTAAGATGACTTGAGAGTTTAAATATTTATCCTTGAAAAGTGTGTCAAAAAAAGTGTGCCTTCCAAATAAAAAACTTTTTTTTTCATAATTTCTCTATTTATTTGCCCAATCTTTCTCCATGAAATCTCTCAATAGACGAAACTGGTAGAACGAGAAGTCACAATTTTATTTTATCGAAACTAGTCTCAACAACACGAGTGACTCATGTGGTTTCTGCATTAAATCAAGTTCTTGTATGCTGGCTATTTACAGTTTCTAACAATCCTACACGCGTAAATACTTCACACAATGTCTAAATACACCATTAGAATATGAAAACAGTAAAATCGATGATTTTGAAAATAAATTGACCATACACTTTCTAAATTCAATTTATCAAAACGAATTAAACTTACATTTGATTATTTTTAGTTATAACTACAAGAATTTAGGATTTTTGAGCGATACGGTATGCATTATAGTTACAAATGAGATCCATCAATTACAAAACGAATCATTCCTCAAAACGAAAGGAGTACAAACGGTCTTTTAAAAAACTTTTTGCACTACTTGGAAATCGTCCAAATAGACGCGAACCGTCGTGTCAAAGATCTTACACAATTTTATAGTCCCAATTTTCCGGCCAATCTACCACATCAATTCGAATTAAGCCTCCACATATCTTGATCGATAAAATTAGAATAAATATGTGTACCTACCTGATTTGTAACGTGCAAATTAGGATCTTCAGATCCCCTTCCACCTCCGAAATTTCCGAAATTGTCTTGTACGGAGAAATGGTAGTCATCTAAAGGCGTAAAAGGAGTTGAATAGTAGGGTGTTAAAGCCGGTGCACCCGGTGAATACCCGGGGCTGGAAACGGCGCCGCCACCTCGCGGTGATAAATGGGGCGAGACAGACAAGGGACTCGTCAGCGACGAGCCCGCGCTGCCCCCTTTGCGAATCTTGCTCGGCTCTCTGGTGAAACAAACAAGAAACGGGAAGTTACGAAGGAAAATAAACAGTCGGTGTGCTATTATTTAAATTCAGAACGGCCAGTTTATGTTTAGAATTTTCAATATCCTCTTTGGATTGTAATGTGTAATTTTCTTTTAAGTTCAATACAAGGGATTTCATAAATTTTAACATTGTTTTTGTAATCTATTTAACCAATCATTATTTCTTCCGTTATATTCGTTATAAAATTAGTTTATTTCGAAAATAATTTGACATTTTGATCTGTCATACAAATTCTGTCAAAATTTATGTCAAATTTTAGCTCAATTGTATGTTAATTCAAATTCGTTTTTGTAATTATTTTAACCAATCATTATATCTTCCGTTATATTCGTTATAAAATTCGTTTATTTCAAAATTGAAGATATTAATTTGACATTTCGAATCGTCATACAAAATTTATGTCAAATTTTAGCTCAATTGTATATTAATTCAAATTAGGCCAAAAATAAAATCGTTATTAGTTTTTATTTATTGATTTATATAAAATATTTTTTTTAATGATTAAATGTTTCGATGTTTGCACAATAATTTATAATTAATTGTTTAAAAAAAAATTAAATTTTGGTGTTTTTTGTTTTAATACCTTTTTTTAATTTAAATCACATTTCTTTTTAAGGATTAATATGTAGACCGTGTGGCCTAATGGACAAGGCGTCGGACTTCGGATCCGAAGATTGCAGGTTCGAGTCCTGTCACGGTCGATTTAATTTTTTGCTCAAATTATCTCAATTTTTTCTATTTGTTATTAAAAATGTTTTTATTAATAATTTTTGCTTCAATTAATCTTTGAAATAGTATTTTTGGCAAAAATGTTTCTTGTTATCGTTTTTACGATCGATCAAGGATAAAAACAAAGCATTTTGGCAACGTATTATTCTAAAAATAAAATGAAACCCGTTTCTATTGTTATTGATCGTATTTATTGGTTTTGAGTTAGTGGTTGTTTAACATTTAGCAAAGCGGAGACTAAACAAAACTAAAGAAAAAGGAATTAAAAAAATTTGTTAAATAAATGGGGCTTAAAAGTATCTCGGTTGGGGGAGCTTTAAAGCTGTAACTTCTCTTTGTCTTTGCATAGCGAGAAACAAAAAAAAAGCATGTTTTTGTTGAAATTTAGTTACTTTCTTTTCTTACCTTTGGACGACAACTCTGACTGAATTTCCAGAGTTATTGAACAGAGTTTGGGCGTCTTGATGACGAATATCCCTAGAGTCGTAATTTCCAATTTTTGTGATGATGTCCCCGCGTTGAAGAACACCGTCCGCCCTCGACCCGAAGGACACCTACAAAAACGAATTTTTCAAAAAAGTCTTTTTTTATAGATGTTAAAATCACAAATGGTCAAAAATTTACTAAAAAAAACTTACTCTGGTGACAATTAATGGGGTTTTAACATCGACACCACCTACAAGACTAAATCCCCAGGGTTCGTTGGCGGAATTCCGCGTCAAGGTCACCAACACTTCATGTGTTTTGCCGCCCCCCATTCCTTGGGGAATCACCAAGAAGGTAGAATCACTTAAACCGCGCCGATTTACAAAAACTAACTAACGGAAATAGTGCGAGATGGATAATCGGGGTGGTCGCTCAACAGGTAGCTTGTTCCCGCAGGAACTGCTCGTGCTAATAAATGTTCTCGTAACTGCACGCTTGCAGGAAGTATCCCTACTCTATCCCGGTTGTATATACCACACTGCATAAATAGAACTTGGGCATACCTTCTACGTTGCGTCTTTCAGTGTTTACTTGACAACCTATTGTTCAAGTCGAAATCTTTAACATTATTCATAAAAATATTCGAAATATTAATTAATTTAACGTTATTTAATTTTGATATATTTAATATTTTTTTTTTGATACAGTAAAACTTTAAGTCATATTATTAATACAGTGCCCTACTTAATTATTGGCACAGCAATCGTTTTTCGTTTTACAGCTGTTTTTAAATCTAATTAACAAATGGTATTAAGTGAAAGTATGTTTTCTATATTATTTAATTAATTAAATACATTACTTTTTCAATTAAATCAATAAAAAAGTACACATTTTCACCGCGCAAAATTATTGGCATACTTATCAATTGGCACAAACGTACATATGCTTAGTCAAAATGTCAAAACTCCTAAATGTGTGTCTATTTCCCCCTATTGACAGTTAATTTGATTTATAAACCGAATTCCATTTTGTCCAATTTTGTCTTTATCAACTGTAGTAGTTACACGAAAAATGGGTTGAAAAAAAAAGTAACCACCAAATCTTGGCGTAAAATATATATTCTTCGTTTGCACAACCAAAGCAGATGGTTTTGCTGAGATTGGAGAAATGATGAACAAAAGCTGACATCAAATTTCAAAAGTGCTAAGCATACTGGACGACCTCGAGCTTTAACATCTATATGTAACCATAAGAAACGTCTAGACTATACAAAGAAATATAAGAATAAACCAAATACATTCTGGGATCAAGTACCCTTCTCAGATGATAGTTCAACATTTTCCAGGTGATGGTCGTGTTAAGGTGTGGGGAAGAGCCAGAATTTGATAAATAAAGTTGTGCATGCTATTATGGACAAAACAGTTTATTTAAATATTTTAAAAGAAAACCTCAAAGATAGTGCAGATAGTGCATAGTGAGATAATGAATGACGCAGGATATGATCCAAAGCATTCGGCTCATATCCTGCGTATGTGGTTGTCTTATAATACCCCACATGTGTTACCACATCCTCCGCAGTCTCCAGATCTCAACCCGATTGAACATTTGTGAGAGGAATTGGATAGACAGATCAAAAAGCTACTAACAAGTCGGAGCTGAAACAAGCATTGTTAGAGGAGTAATATAGAATATATATAGATATAGAAGATAGTCTACCGATATATCGATAACGACTTAATCTACTTATTTTCAAAACTTCAATTTTGCTTTCAAAAGTATTCAATAAAGTATACAATTGAAGTATTTATGCAACTAAAGTATTTATTTATACTAAGAATAAAATTAGCAACAACATTTGTTCTAAAAGATGTTTTCTGACATGCTTCGATTCTCAAGTTTTACGATTAACAACTAGTAAAACAACGAAATTCATCAAATTTTCATATTTTTCTCGATATCTATAGATCTGAGAGGAAAATTGGAAGAGGTCAATATTGTTAAGAATAAAATTTGCTACAACAATATTCTAACAGCTTTTTTGTGACATGCTCCGAATCCCGAGTTTGTGCATTCCATTTGCCCGTTCAAGCACTTGATTGCAATAAGGCCAATGATATAGTGGTCTTAACTTTACCGCGACACACTTCAAATAAATTACAACCCCTGGATCGCACAATATTCGGACCTTTTTTTAATCAGGGTGCATATTCTTAGATGTTATCCCAACCAGGTCTAACAGTAACAATTTATGATCCCCCACTAATTTATTGTATGGTATGGGATCGTGCAGCAACTCCTACAGATATAAAATCTGGTTTCAAATGCACCTTTTGATAGGACTTGATAGGGCTAGTTTTTACAGTCTTATGTAACGGATAGACCATTGCCTGTTGGAAAAACTGACGAACAAAACAAGAATGATGAAAATCTTCCATCAACAACCACAACACCTTCAAGCAGTGCAACATCTTAATCTACACCGTTTGTCTCCCCTGAAGATATTCGTCCATTTCCCAAAGCAGATGAAAAAAATCCACAAGACGTGGACCCCAAAAACTAAAATGTATTATCGCCACTGACACGCCAGAAAAAGATGAAATAGCTAGCAGATAAAATAACGGGGATTGATTCTGATTTCTGATGACAATTTAAATTCTTCAAATGAATCTGAGAATTAAAGAGAAATCATTGACGTGGGTAATTTGATCATTGCCAAAGCTTTCGGTAAGGATTCAATGAGGCAGTATGAACGCTCAAGCAACTGAAAAATTAAGAGACGGATACGAAGTTAAGTTTTTCAAAAGGCATGCTTCTATCGTTTTGTTGAATCAAAAGAAGACCCTGCTTCTTATCTTTTGATAAAATAGTGCTTCGATAAAGTAGAATTTTTCAAAAATATGAAAATTACAAGAGTGTTAAAAAAATCGGTATCCGGAGCATGATACAGAAAAACTATTACTACAAAAGTTGTAGCAAATTGTATCCTTAATACAATGGTCTGTAACATTTTTGCTCCCAAATGCATCAATGTGGAGAAATTTTGAAAAATAGGAAAATTAAAGAGTGTTAAAAAAATCGGTTTCCGGAGCATGATACAGAAAAACTATTACAACAAAAGTTGTAGCAAATTGTACCCTAGCTGTACCCTGCTAGTGTAAATTGTAGTTTTACACTAGCATTATCATTAGAACTAACACAACACCTAGAACTAGAATCATTCGGGTTTAGCCGTCTTAAAAGACGTGCGGCTAAATCTGAATGCTTCTAGTTCTAGGTCTAGTGTTAGTTCTAGTTCTATACTATCACTAGAACTAACACAAGACCTAGAACTAGAATCATTCGGGTTTAGCCGTCTTGAGAGACGTGCGGCTAAACCCGAATGTTTCTAGTTCTAGGTCTGGTGTTAGTTCTTGTTTTACACTAGCACTATCACTAGAACTAGCACAAGACCTACAACTAGAATCATTCGGGTTTAGCCGTCTTGAAAGGCGTGCAGTTAAATCCGAATGTTTCTAGTTCTAGGTCTAATGTTAGTTCTAGTTTTAATTATTATTCAGCATTAGATTGTGGTATATTTTTATTGAACGAAAAGTAGAACTAACACTGGACCTAGAACCAGAAACATTGGGGTTTAACCATGCGTCTCTTAAGACGGAAACTCAAAGTTATCATTTCTAAGCAAAACTTTTCCTTTGCAAAATTACCAGTGCAAGTGCATAGTAGTTTCGTAACTATGGTGACTGCAATCATATATTGCGCATTTTCATATTTTTCTCGATATTTACGCATCTGAGAGCAAAATTGTGAAGAATAAATTTGCCATTAACATCTTGTAAATAAGGTGTTCCGTTAAAAAAAACAATTGACCCATTTTTCGGAAACACTAAATACTATAAACAATTTTTTGTTAAATTATTTGAACTCCCTTCCCCGTATTAATCCGTTATATCGGTTTTACACTACTTTAATATATTTGCCAAACTTATTGACACTAATGTATTGGATGTAATATAAAAGGCGGAATGTGCAACCCGTTCGTCCTTTTAGCGCAGTAGTTACAAGTGCAAACGACTTGGCAATTAGTTGCCTGTTATTTGGGTTAGCCTCCAAAAAAGACGGGATTCACTGCCAATTTTAAATAGAACAATACTTAGTGGGAGAGACACCATCTTTATTTTACATATTGCGATTTTCATCATCATCTTTACTCATTAAAATATATAAAATAAGCATTAACACCAACAATAAAATTAGATTTCGTGACTAAATTGAAATAAATATTACGAATTTAGGTCGCGTAAATCATCAGTACATACACCCAAAAATAACCCACCATGAAATTTGTTATTGCAACTCATTAAATTTAAAAATATTCCGATTAAATTAAAACCAATATTTTTTAAAATCACTTTCGTATCCCCTTTTTTAAAAGACACCTGTATTTATCTACCAACACACTACGGTATGAAGACAATTTGAGTCTTAGCCAAAACTAACAACTTTTTTTTTAGATTTTTTTAACGATCTTTTTGAACGTACCTTTTTTCCTTTCGAAGAGGACCTGTGGGTCCAGAAGGATGGTCTCTGCAGGGACATGGTTAACACGTTGGCAACACTGCCAAAGCGGTCGGGAATGAATCGCGAACTCTTTTACGTGAAAAATTTAGATTTTTTTTTTCGAGAAGTCTAGAAGAGTGTGCGCCTGGGCTCACTGTATATTTAGATACTTTTATAATACCGCGGTTTCATGTCAAAGCAGCTGAGAGGATATATTTTGGCAACGCTTGCTGAAAATACGGTATTTTGGAAACTCTTACAGGTCTCCCTAGAGATTTGATATCGTATTACTATTATCTGTTGTTTATATTTTTTTTTAATAAAAATATAAAATAATTAATTTAATTTTTTGAATTTAACAATTATTAAATAAAACTCCATCTATGATTTGATTATTATAACTTGATTGATTTAATCATTTTTGAATAGATGGCGCAATCTTCACTAACCTATAACAAATTAGGTTATGCAATTGAGTAGCTTAGGGATAAAGTCCATACATGAAAATGGCGGTTTGACAGTTTGTCAGTGCTTATTTACAAAAAGTGCACGTATAATAATGATGTCTTGTTGCCTTTGGAGTTGCAAAAAATACCAGTAAGAAGGGTTTTTGACTCTTCAGAGTACCATAAGAACAATAAGAAAGGAAATTTTGTGTAAATTTATCAACAGAATGACATAGTTTTAAATTTCCCGCTTGACCTTCGAGCCAAAATGGCGGCAAACCGCCGTATTTTGATAATCTAGGAACTTTACTTAGGGAGCATTTAGGGAGCTTAGAATCAATCCACTATTATAAATTTCATTTTGCAACTCTAGATGGCTCTCTGCGTGTTTTTCCTTATTTGTGTCAAAACCGACTATATCCCATGGAAATTGTTGCTTAAATTTTGATCTGAATTGCAAAATGGACTAAATTCACCGCTGTTTGCGCATCAGATAAGTTTTTATGCTTTCCTGAAAAAAAATTATGTTTTGGGGATGGCACTTGTACTCAATTAAAAAAAAATTATATATTGAAAATAAATTTATGGCAAGGTCATTTTCGCTGAAACTTTTAACAATTTTCTTTCTTATTTATATTCCGAATTGATAGTTCTTCCAATTAATAGTCTTCTAACTTCTGATGTACCAGCTCCAATTTCATATAATTTCGCATCACGCATTAATCTTCCAGCTGAATAATCATTAATATAACCATTTCCGCCTAAAATTTGAATAGCATCTAATCCCATTTGAGTCGCCTTTTCAGCACAATACAAAATAACGCCGGCGCAATCTTTACTATTCGCATTCTTTTTATCACAAGCTTTAGCAACGTTGTATAAATAACTTCTACAAGCGCTTAAAGTTGTGTACATATCAGCCATTTTTCCCTAAAACAACAAATTTATATCCTAAATCTTTTAAAGATAATTAAAATTAAGTAACTTACTTGTATTAATTGAAATTCCCCAATTTTTTGGTCAAATTGTTTTCTATCATGTGCATATCCAAATGCAAGATCACAACATGCTTGCATTACTCCAACTGGTCCCGCGGCTAAAACTAATCGTTCGTAATCCAAACCACTCATTAAAACATAAACTCCTTTATTTTCTTCTCCCAATAAATTTTCTTTGGGTACTTTACAATCTTCGAATATTAATTCGCACGTATTCGATCCGCGCATTCCCATTTTATCTAATTTTTGGGCTGTTTTAAATCCTGGAAAGCCTTTTTCGACCAAAAATGTTGAAATTCCATGTTGTTTCTTCGTAGCTTTCGGATCCGTTCGGGCGTACACTACTAAAACGTCAGCATCCGGTCCGTTTGTAATCCAAAATTTGTTTCCGTTTAAAATATAATAATCGCCTTTCTTCTCAGCCTTTAATTTCATTGAGACTACGTCAGAACCTGAACCTGGTTCTGACATTGCTAACGCTCCAAAGTGTTCTCCGGAACATAACTTAAATCAAAAAAAAATTTAACCTAAAAAAAATTCTTTTTTGAGCTAATTACTTTAGGAAGATATTTTAATTTTTGTTCTTCAGTTCCGTTTCTATGAATTTGATTGATACACAAATTTGAATGAGCACCGTAACTAAGTGCTATTGCTGAACATGCTCTTGATAATTCTTCCATAACGATGCAATGTTCCAAATAGCCAGCTTCTGTACCTCCATATTTACTCTTTGCTGTTATACCTAAAATTTTTTATAATCAATATCATCCTGTATCTTATGCTATATCATCATGTATACAGGGAATTTCATATAACTCGCAATATATGAATGCAGTAACCATAGTTACGAAACTATTATGTACTTGCACTGTACCAAATAAAATGCAACATAGCTTAATGGTACAGGCTTTGGGTAGATTTACAAAAGAAACGTTTTGCTTGGAAAAAGGTAACGTCTTTATGATAACCCTGAGTTTTCGACCGTCTTAAGAGACGCACGGCTAAACCCGAATGTTTCTGGTTCTATGTCTAGTGTTAGCTCTAGTGATTGTGCTAGTGCAAAACTAGAACTAACACTAGACCGAGAACTAGAAACATTTGGATTTAGGCGCATGTCTCTCAAGACGGCTAAACCCGAATGATTTTAGTTCTATATCTTGTGATAATGCTAATGTAAAAATAGAAGTAACACTAGACCTAGAACTAATAGGCTAAAGACTTCATACAAATGATACTACTTTTTGCAAAATGTTTATGTTTTTCTTCAAAAACTTTGAATTATATACAATATAGTAGTATATTGAATATATACTACTGGAAGTAGCCATCCTATCTATAGAAGATATTAAGATTAAGATATTATTATTATTATATAGTTTAAGGTCACAAGGTAGATTAGGAAAGACACCAATATTGTTCTAGCAGCACACTTCAATGCACATGATCTGATCAAGTCCACGTGAAGTTTTATTCGATTTATTTCTACTTATTCTGTTCTATTATTATTTATTATTCTATCTATAAGTGACGTTTAATTTGGCACCTGTCAAAATCAAATAATTTTTTAGTTAAATTAAATTAAAATAGTTGCAAATTCTGTTGATAGATGCTGTTTTAAATATTTTAAAATCATCCAAAATATGTTTTAATGATAAATTTCTAAATTAATTTTATTCATTAATCAATTTAAATAATTAAAACGTTTAATAACGAAAACTATATTACCGACCTTAATATACACACGTCAAAGTTGTCAAGTTTGACTGCAAATTCTGTTGATAGATGCTGTTTTAAATATTTTAAAATCATCCAAAATATGTTTTAATGATAAATCTCTAAGTTAATTTTATTCATTATTCAATTTAAATAATTAAAACGTTTAATAACGAAAACTATATTACCGACCTTAATATACACACGTCAAAGTTGTCAAGTTTAACTGTCAAACAAAAACTTGAAGTGATTTAAATAAAAATGATAGAATATAAAAAGAATAAAAATAAAGTTATAGATTAGAGCGCCGAGCAAGTGAGTACGAGTAAGCGACGGAAGTTTCGTTCTTTGTCACACATACATAAACTTCAATGCGCATGATCTGATCAAGTCCACGTGAAGTATAATTTTTTATTCTATTTATTTCTACTTATTCTTTTCTATTATTATTCTAAGTGACGTTTAATTTAACTTTGACACCTATCAAAATCTAAATAATTTTTTAGTTTGCGTCAAATCTTGGGAAAATTTATCTCTTCCGACAATAATAAGAGTAATCTATGCAGGTTAGTTAACGGAGATTCAAAAACTGCGTGTAGTGGTGATTCTGGGGGTCCTTTAGTGCAAAGTAACACTTTAGTAGGAATTGTTTCTTTCGGTATTAATAAATGTGTAATTCGAGGTGCGCCCTCTGTTTACACAAAAGTCGGCAAATTTGTTGATTGGATATCCGAACAACTTGAAAAGTGATTTAAATTAATTAATATTAACTCAAAAAAACGCCATATTTCAAACTAACCTAAAACAAATTAACTTAACCTCAAAAAAAAATTAACCTAATTAAATTAAAATAGTTGATGAAAATTCTGTTGATAGACGCTGTTTTCAATATTTTAAAATCATCCAAAATATGTTTTAATGATAAATCTCTTAATTAATTTTATTCATTAAACAATTTAAATAATTAAAACGTTTAATAACGAAAACTATATTACCGACCTTAATATACACACGTCAAAGCTGTCAATTTTGACTGTCAAGCAAAAACTTGAAGTGATTTAAATAAAAATGATAGAATATAAAAAGAATAAAAATAAAGTTATAGATTAGAGTGCCGAGTAAGTGAGTTTCTTTGTCACACATACATAAAGAGTTTTACATAAAAATCTTTTAATACTTTTGAATTATTATGTTGTAATAAGTATAATTTAATAATGAATAATACATAAAATATTTCCTTTATTCGGAATCCTGCACCTTCTTTGTCATTTCGTGGCTTGTGCCGCGTGGACAACCGCATTGCCCTAAAACTAAATATCATTTTCACTTTTACATTTTTGATATCAGGGATATTACAATTTTCATATTTTGAAAAATTATCATGGCGCCCCATAGTGTTGTGCGCCTTGGGACAGTCGCCCCCCAGCCCCCCTGGTAGTTACGCCTTAACGCCTCTGGTCAGGTTTAGTCGTCTTAAGAGACGCATCGCTAAACGGAATTTTTCTAGGTCTAGTGTTGATTCTAGTCCTAGTGTTAGTCTAGTTTTATTTCTTATTCAGCGCTACATTGTTATATATTTTATTTTTTTAAGCTATAAAAAAAGTATTGATCCGTTATATCGAGGTTTTACTGTAATGTCAAATTATATTGACATGTTGCATTTTATGTGGGCCAAAGTAAGTAGGTACGCCTTGGTTTTTATGGAAATATATTTTTGTATATTGCATCTTAACTGAAATTCACTGTATGTTTTGATTTAGCAAATAAACAAAGTCAAATCCAAGGTCGTTTTAATTTAAAAGTAAAAGCAGCTCAAAAAATGTTTAACCAAATTGGTTGAAAGGCATCTAAATTAAGAAAACATTGACGTACTTACCTAATAACCCAAGGCTTCCTAATTTCTTCCAAAAGTCCCTTAACCCATCGAAATTATTTTTCTTATCAATTTCGTTAGCATATGGAGCTAATTCTTTTTGAGCGAAATTAAAGACTGTTTCTCGAAACTTAAAATAAATGGGTCAATTTTTATTTAATTTTTTTAATTGATAAGAATTATTAAAAAGATACCTGAATTTGATCTTCGGATAAACCAAATATGTTTTCGTCAATGGGATAATATTGCGATGCGCTTCTACAATGCACAGATACATTTTTTATTCCTCTCAAAAAATTCCGTGAGATGTTTAAAGCCATTTCAACTTATTTGTGAGATATTTTTTGTAGGTTCCTTGGACATTAACCTCAACTTGTAAAGAGTATTAATAGGAATGTGAGTTGAATGGAAGATTTATCACAAAATATAGTCCACCAAAGATACAGTTAAGTCTATATTATATTTTAAGAGATAAGAAAAGGTATCGTTTATATCGTGTTTATTTCTAAACGATTTTGTAATTTTTACATTTTTCTCATTGATTCCCAAAAATATATAGTACAAATTATAATTGTGTGAAGTCTTTTAACATCTGTATTTGTTCAAGATTATTTGTGTGTTTATCTCCAGTAGCTGGTGCAGCACGGGCTGGTCTAGCTATAACTCTATTTAAACAAAAACAATTATTAAAAAGAAAAATTAAATTATGTATTTAATATTTCGGTATCTCTAAAGACAACGAAGATATATGCTTGTATGTTTTTGTTGTCATCGCATTTCCTATTGGAAATAAGGAAATTAAATTAATTAAATAAAGGTGGTAATAAAACAAATAAATAAATCAACATTGTTATTGATACTGTTTACTCAAGCAACAGGGTCATTCAAAACGTTCATACAATAAATAAATAGCACTTAGAAGAAAATACTACAATACATAATAATACAGTTGGGGTTTTTCTTTCCTCAAAAGTTACCAAAGAAATATGTGTGATGAAGTAAAAGGATTGTTTGTGATATATTATAATAGCATTAATAGCAAACGCGGCAAAATTTAAAATAAATCTTTTTTAAAAACATTTTCTTAAAATTTTTATTATTTAAAACAAGCACCATGTTTTATTATTGCGTTTGCAACGGTAAATTATAATTTTAAGGAGTATTTTCCGACTGCAAAATATCATTCGATTGAGGGGGGTCTCTTCTTCCGCGATTTATAATATACTATTACACTAATTACACTTAAAATGATTCTCGCCTTCGTATTATTTTTTTTGTACAATTAACTACATAAAGTAATCTCTATGTACAACAGTTAAAACATCTAACGTTTTTTTTAATAGTTAACATAAAACTGTCTTATCGACCAAACATAATTCATAAAACATGAAATTTTTATATAGTTAAACCAATAAGCAATAATTTTATTCTAAATAAATTATTTTTTTATCAATCTAGGCGTGCCGCAAAAATTACGATAATAACAATGATATTGATTGTTAAACTGAAAGAAAATAACGACTATTTTGATTCAAATTAACGATCGATAATACAATTTCGTTTTTATACCTAAATCTAATTTTTTTCTTAATATTCAAAATCGATTTTTCTTTCATTTCTTAATGGTGATAAGATAAATAGCAATAATTGCTAGATAATTTCACTAGTATAGAAAAATTGTGTTGTTTCTTCTTTTCACAAATTTTTTTAGATTGATAAAAGGTCGTTGACCATCGCTTGGTATTCGCGATTGTATTGAGTTTTGTTACCGGTTGCTGGACTTGGAGCAACAGGTCTTCCAATGTAGCTATTCATAACAAACAAAAAAACTTATTATTACACATTTTCGAAAAATATATCATAATATATTAATTTTCCACAAAAAAACCATCACCACATATTAAACACATAGATAAAAAGAAATTTACAAATCTAATAAAAGCTGTGAATTAAAGAAGCGAAGTATGCATCATAATAAATAGCAAAAAGAATGAAAGAAACGATTGCATTAAAACTTGGGAAGGAAAAATAAACGAATAGGGTTATATTAAACAGTTAAAAATAAAGAATAGTGCACTTGAAGATATGATTTATTGGCCAACGATTTTTTCTCACCCAACAACCCTCGGCTCGATTTCCGTTACCGGCTCCGTTTGCTCAACCGGATCTGGTTCCTTTTTGCCAAACAATCGGCTGAACCAGCTCAGCAATGTTCGCGCAGTTTCAACTCTGCGCATCGAAAAAAAACGCGATAAAATCAAGGACGGTTGAATCTAAAAGGACTGCTACATCCTTTGTAATCCAGAAAATCATTATGTTTTATGGTTGTGTTTTTCTGTCTTTATTATATACAGGGTGACCATTATGTATGAACTATAATATATGTATATTTCGATAAATATCGACGACTTTATAAAACACAAGTTTTTTTGTGAAATTAACTTAATAAACACTACAGACGACCAGTGAGGAAACTATGAGGAAAAATTTAAACAAGAGGATACAGAAGAAGGGGAGAAGAGTCGAAAAGAGGTGGAAGATATAAAGGAAGAGCAAATAAGCGAGTATATCACCTAAACTACTAAGAATATAATCATGACGATCCATAAGAAGGGGGAAACAACCAACTGCGAAAACTACAGAGCAATCAATTTGGAGCCGGTTGCACTCAAACTCTACTCAAAAAATCTATAAAAACGGATGAGAATCCAGATAGAAGAAAAACTCGAAGAGGAACAAGCGTTCCGACCAAACTAAGACAGGAATAAAGATATACAAGGTGTACCATCTTGTTGCCAGCAATTTTTTTTTAATAACTTGAAAACAACTCAATATTCTGTTTGGATTCGATCATTTTATTGAAATTTGGACTAGTACAATTTGTTTAGTCACTTTCTGAAAGTGATGTCTGGTAGCTGGCTCGTTCGAAAAATCGGGCTTTAAGTTGCTCGTGAGTGTCTGGCTTCTTGACATAAACCTTGCTCTTAAGGTATCCCCACAGGACAAAGCCAGGAAGCGTCAAATCAGGCGCGTCCGCCTGTTCGGCCAGTCGTAATTGCCACTTTTCGATATCAATCGATTTGAAAACATGGTACGCAGCAAATCCGTTATTATTCGAGCAGTATGGCATGTTGCATCACTTTGCTGGAACCATAGTCCTACATATCATTTTTTCGATTTTGCCAAACCGTCATCGTAGAGAGGCCAAACTGCTGAACGTCAACCGAGCGTCATCACTTTCACGTCTTTAGTTTGGGCTTCGATGTTGCTAAAGAACTTTTGGCATTAAATTTCGCCACTAAATTTCAAATTGTCTTGGCTGTGGGCGTTGAACGACTGCGATATTTTGCTCTGTACGCATGTTGAGCAAGCGTAAGAAAGGAATTTTTTTTTGGAAATAAAATGGTCATAGTTAAAATTGTACTGAAATGACATTTCCAACGCACCATCAAACATGGTATACCCTGTATATTTGGCCTTCCTAGACCTAAAAGCAGCTTTCAATCGGATACTGAGGCAACATATATGGGAAGCTTTAAGAGAACTAGGAATAAATTCAAAACTAAAAAGAGAAATTAAAAGCGTATATCATAACGTAATGGGGTGGGTTAGTCTGAATGGAAAGACGTCAGAAGAGTTCAGAATGGATTTAGGGAGTGAAACAGGGTGACAGTTTAAGCCCACTACTCTTTGTAGCATACACGGAACAGAATAATAAAGCAAGTCAAACTCCTCAGACGAGACAACCTAACCTCGATCTACACTCGAGACATTATATACGCCGCCAATGTTGTACTAATGTCAAGCAAAGTAAATGTCTTACAAAGAAATATTCAAATATGGAATACCTGCCTACAAGAAAGAGGAATAATAATAAACAAAAACAAAAGTAAGATCCTACACATCACAAAAGAAGAAAAAACAGGAGATATTGACGTAAGAATGTAGCGGCAACGACTGGAGGTGGTAGAAAAGTACGAATATCATGGAACCATAATAAGTAAAGATGGAAAGATAGATCAAGAAATACGCAGCAAAACAGCAAAGCAAGTGCAGTCTACTATCAATAAACAACACCCTTTTTCTTAGGCAAGAAGAAACTGAACACTAAAACAAAAATACAATAATATAAAACCACTAACTATATACCCACACTTAATTATGGATCAGAAACTTGGACGATGTTGGACAAGCACAAATCGAAAATAACAGCAGCTAAGATCAAGTACCTACGCAAGATATTGGGGAATACCAGAAGAGCTAGGGTACGGAACAAGAACATCAGAGAAGAACTAAGCTTAAATCCCCTGGTACAGGAAATAGAGCGAAAACAAATTGGTATGGTCACCTGCTTCGAATGAAAGAACATAGCATATCTAAGATAATGTCCAACATAAGGCCAGAAGGAAAGAGCAAGCGTGGTAGACCAAGAATCCAATGGAAGGGAGAGATTGAAAAGATGGTTGAGATGAGAGGGAAGAGACTCGCCGAAGAACGGATTATGGCCAGAGATAGGAAGATGCTTTTCCAGATTTAGGAAGATATTTGGGAAATAACGTCGAACACTTTATTTTAAAATGTTCTTGATTTAAAAGTAAATATTACGGATATCTATGAAACAGAAAATCTTTTACTACTAATTTTTTCGCCTATTAGTCATTTTTCGTCATGAGGAGTAAATCCCTCAGTTTATGCGTATAAGTTGAGAATCACCCTGTATATTTAAAAAAAAATGAAGTGTCCAAATGATAAAACCAATGAATACTGTCTTATTATGGCAAATAAAATGTTAAACAACTTTTGCATAAAAAGTTTTTTTATAAAGTCGATATTTACCAAGATATACAGGTGTCTCAGCGAAATCGGTCATTAGACGTTTCTCGGGTTCTGGCCAAAATAAATATTTGAGAATTCACCTACTTTATTTTTTTAAATGGAACACCCCGTATATTTTATTACTTTGTCGTCTTCGGTGTCTCATTCTACATCTTTTATATTCCATGCCTAACATTAATAGTTTGGAAGATAATAAGTTTTTTGAAAAATAGTCACGCCAACTTTTGTTGGCTAGGTGTTTCAAATGACAATATTTAAATGAATACAAAAATTCGATATTGTTGACAGACAATAACAACAATTTTAATAAATATTAATATTTCTGAAAGGGCTAAACCCGAAACTGTCTAGTTGTAGTTTTAATTATCATTCAGTGCTAGATTGCTGTATATTTATATTGAACTAAAACTAGAACTAAGAGTAGATCTAGAAACATTCAGGTTTAGCCATCTTAAGAGACACATGGCTAAACTCGATTTCTTTATATTATTACAAAACACGAATAAAATAAATTAAGCATCTGCTAATTCAAAGTGTGAAATAGTAGTTGTCTACCCATGCGTGACGTCACGAACGTGCCGAACTTCCCGAGATGTAGCAGCTCTTTTAGATTCTACCATTCTTGCGATAAATCATATCTCCTTTAATTTATATTAAAGTATGAAAAGTTTTAGTGATAAATTCGAAAGTTTAACTAAATGTCCCGTATTATTATCTATATCTTATATTTCTAGCCAAAAAGAAAAATTAAAAATTACTTACTTGACATCTCTACTTCCGGTAAGAGCTGTATGGAATCGAGGTTGCACATATTGCCAATAACCTTGATTCTTATGCTCTTCCTGTGCAAAAAACAATTTAGCGTTCGGATATTTAGCGCATTCTCGTTTAATCAAATCGTATGGGAAAGGTGAAATCTAAAACCACGAATAAATGTTTTAATAAACGAAATAAAAAAAATAAGGTTAAAAAAATCAAACCTGTTCAATTCTAATCAACGCAATATCGTTAGTCAAATTTTTCGCATCGCGTTCTTTTTTGTAGTCGTAATAAACTTTTCCACTACAGAATACGACTTTTTTAACTCCAGATGAATCGATAGTGTCGGGAATAACTCTTTGGAATTCGGTGCCTTCTACCATCTCGTCGAAACTGCTCCTGGCGTTCGGGTGGCGCAACAGACTCTTGGGCGTCAACATAATCAGAGGTTTACGGAAGGGTAGGTGAATTTGACGACGAAGGATATGGAACATATTGGCGGCGGTCGTGCAATTTGCAACGATCCAATTGCAATCGTGCAATTGACGCACCGCGAAGTCATCACTTTCCGGTGGGAAATAATCGGGATCGTCAGAGCACATTTGAAGGAAACGTTCTGGACGACAACTTGAATGTTCAGGACCCATACCTTCCATACCATGTGGTAAGTTTACAACTAAACCACTTTGTCTGACCCATTTAGCTTGTCCAGAAGAAATAAATTGATCAATGATACATTGCGCAGTGTTGGCAAAATCACCAAATTGAGCTTCCCAAATAACCAAAGCATTAGGATTCGTCATGGAATAACCCAATTCGAATCCTAAGACAGCGTATTCAGAGAGTGAGCTGTTTGAAACTGAATACGGCGCTTGATCAGGGTAAAGATGACATAATGGGCTAATAAAAAATCACAAATAACTTAACTTTAAATTAAATGCAACAAAACTTACTTGTAAGTTGCTTTATCAACCGTTTGGTGGTGCAAAACATGATGACGATGAGAGAAAGTTCCTCTTTCAACATCTTGTCCAGATAATCTAACGTGAATTCCTTCTTTTAACAAAGTTCCATAAGCCATAGCTTCAGCGATGGCCCAATCGCACGTTCTGTTATTAACCATTTCTAAACGAGCTTTTAAGATACGTTCTAAACCTTTGTGAATAACGAATTCGGCGGCGTTTGGTGGTGGCGACGAAAATCTGGTTCCAATGTGAACCAAAGTTTCTTCTTTAACCCCGGTTGGTCCAACTTTCAAAGGATCTTTTCCTTCAAAGAATCCAGACCATGGGCTATCCAACCAATCCTTATGTTTAACGTGGGTTTCTTTACGAGCCGCGCTAAACGCTTCCTCGCAAATCTTCTCATATTTTTCTTTAACATCTTGTACTTCCGCTGGAGTAACAACACCTTCTTTAATCAAATTATCGGCGTATTTCTCCAAAATGGTTTGCATTTGCCTAATTTTCGTGTACATCAACGGTTGAGTAAACATTGGTTCATCATTTTCATTGTGACCGTTTCTTCTGTAGCAAACGATATCAATAATGACGTCACTCTTAAAAGTGGCTCTCCATTCAGCAGCGATGTTACAAACATGGATAACCGATTCGGGATCATCACCGTTTACGTGGAAAATCGGGGCGTTTACAACTCTGGCAACGTCAGTACAATATGGTGATGATCTCGAGAATCTTGGATCGGTTGTAAAACCAATTTGGTTGTTGATAATGATGTGAATTGAACCGTGGGTGGTGTAAGCGGGCAAATCAGATAAATGCATCGTTTCAAAGACGACACCTTGTCCACAGAACGCCGCGTCACCATGAATATGAATCGACATTACTTTTTTACCCTCGCTATCGCCTCGATAAAATTGTTCAGCGCGCGTTTTTCCTTGTACAATTGAAGAGACACATTCTAAATGGGATGGATTAGCACATACAGCTAAACGTATATTTTTATTTGTAACACGGTTTAATCTGAATTATAAAATTATTAAAGAATTAGGTTGTTCAATATTTTATATTTATATATTATACCTTTCAATGTATGTACCTAAATGGTATTTTACATCTCCAGAACCTTCATCAGCTGCTTCCAATCCAGCAAATTGGCTGAAAATTTGAACAAGCGGTTTACGACATACATTGGCTAAACAATTTAATCTGCCACGATGAGCCATGCCCATAATAATACTTTCGACGCCCAATTCGGTACTTTTATCAATAATTTGTTTCATCGCTGGAATTAAAATTTCGCAACCTTCCAAACCGAAACGTTTCTCAGATGTGTATTTTTTCGATAAGAAGTTTTCAAATCTAATTAAAACAAAAAAAATTAATAATTTGTAAAGTTATATTATTTTTAAATTACCCTGCTGCTCTAGTAAGTCTGGCAAGAATCAATCTTTTTTGATCAGCACTTAATTGTCCAGCACCTGGTGTTTCTAATTTCTTTCTAATCCAATTACATTGTTCTAAGCTGTTAATAAACATAAACTCAACACCAATGTGTCTACAATAAGTGAGTTCAAGTCGTTTGAGGATTTCCTTCAAGGGAAGTGACGTTTCTTTTCCTCCAATAAACGTGGTTGATGGTAATTTAAACATCCTTTCCATATCAGTATCATCTATAAACAAACTTTTTAGAGTATCTCTTTTAAATGATTAAATAAAATAAACATACTAAGTCTATGTTGCCGCACAACTTCATCTGGTGGTGAACCCTGCCTTTCAGTAATAGTAGTACTCCTATCTGAATACATGATACCAAGAGGGTCAACTTGCGCCACAAGATGACCACGAGACTACATAAAAAAATGAACAAACAATTAAAAAAACAAGGAAGTTTTTCAAAAATTTATATTTTTACTTGGTAACTTCTAATAATAGCCTGTACGGCAAGATGATCTTCAATAATCTTATCATCCAGGCTAGATACCCCAACTCCAACACCTTGGATAGCTGGTAAAAGTGATGTTAGCGCTACCTCATTCTTCCCGGGGCCCGCCAGAGATGGAGGCCTCTGATACGCTTGGCCTTGCGCTGAATTTCGGAAAAAAGAATCCCAAGACTACAAAGTTAAAGAAAATTAATTAAAATTAATGATTAAACCGTTACATTTCAAATTGTAATTACGCGAATGAAAAATTATACTCATTAGAAAACCGACGAAGAAATCCTTGGTGAAACGCAGAAATATTGCAGTCGAATCAACTGATGCGAAAAGTTTGTGAAGAAATAATGTAAAAAATAGAGTACTTGACGACATATTTGTAAGATATGTTTGAAATTTATTTAGATTTTAATAACTAAAAATTTTGAGTGTTTTGACAGATGACATAAACGTCTAATTAGTGAGGTTAAAATCGATTAATATATTAATTTCTTTTTTAATTACTTTTTTTTTAACATTTTAATATTTTCAATGATTTTAAAATCATTTTCATAATGTGTTATTATAAATTTATAAATATAATGATTTTTTAATAATTTATACAATTTTTTTCTTTATACAGGGTGTTTCTAATATAACCATTATGGAATAACTTAAAAGAATGAGATTTGTTAGATAACTGTTGCTAATAAAATGGAATGGCACTTTTTGACGATTTTTGTAACCCTGAAATGTTATTACAAGGAGTTCAAAAAATCATCATCATTCTGCGGCGCTACATCCATATTTTTGGCCTTCTGAACACTCCACTCTATGAAGTGCTGTCACTCTCCAATTTTGAACACACAGCTTCTTTATGTTATTAGACTTAGTCACACCGTCTGGGCCTTCCATCTCATTCTAGGTCTTCCCCTATTTCTGTGTTTTCCTGGTTTCACTCACCCTTAAGATGTATCCCATCCATCTTATTCTTTGAGCTTTGGCAAACCTAACAATGCTTTCTCCTTCAACAAAATTGTTTAATTCTTCATTAGTACTTGCCTTATTGAATATACTACCACCGTTTTCTAGATCACCGTAACACAGTAACTTTGATAGTGCATCGCCTTGTCTAACACTATTATTAATAGCAAATGGTTTCGACTAAAGGTTAACCCACTGCTGTCGTCTGCCGAGCCAGCAAATGCTCAAACAACCGTTTTATTCACTGCTCATACTTCATTCGTGCGACATGTCACAATGTTTACCACATCATTTACCCCAGTTCTTCTTCGTAGGTCTTAATTTCGTATGTGGTCCCTCAGGATTACACCCAGCATCAACCTCTCCATCTTTCTTTGCGTTACTTTGAGCCTCATGGCTTTAGCCAATGTTAATGTTAAAGTTTCGGAGCCGTATGTCATAATTACAAGCACGTATTGATTAAAAGCCTTTCTTTTCACATATATAGGAATATTACTCTTGAAGACGTCTCTAAGTTACCCGTAGGCTGCCCATGCGATTGTGTTTCTTGTTTAGTTCGCTTGTTTGATTATCTCTCAATACACGAACCTCATGGCCAAGATATATATAGGGTGTTCCGTGACTCTACCGACAAACTTATACCATATATTCCGGGAGTCATTATGATCAAAAAATTGTATATCACTTATAGGTGAATTCCTCTTTATTTTCGTTTTTCCGTCAACGTGCGGCTTGTTAAATAATCAACTTGTTGGCCTCATTTTTTTAAAACACATCTTAGTGCAGAAACTTACCTTCATTTTTTAGAAGAAGAATTGCCGAATTACATAGAAGATAGTCCTCTAGAAGCTCGTCGTGACATGTGGTTCCAGCAAGATGGGGCACCATCACATTTTGGGAGACAAGTCACGGTATTTCTTAATCAAAATTTTCCGGAAAGGTGCATAGGACGAGGTGGTCCTGTACATTGGCCAGCTCGGTCACTTGACTTCTCGCCTCTAGATTATTTTCTGTGGGGTTGCCTCAAATCTCGTACGTATAGTAGTAATGGTAAACCAGATACACGGGAAGAGTTGATTGACAGAATAGTTGAAGCTACTAATTCGCTAAAGAAATTAACTAGCAACATTCTATAACACGAAGGATAGCTGCATATTTAGAAAATGGTGGTTCTCATTTTGCACAGGTGCTGTAATTTTGTGTTAATTAGTAAATTAATAAATTTTCTTTTATCATTTTTATTTCGATATCTCTGAAACAAAGAGGAATTCACCTATAGGTGATATACCATTTTTTGAATTGTATAAGTTTGTCGGTCGAGTCACGGAACACCCTGTATAGCTATCAACCCTCTTAATTTCATTATGCCCAATGTTGATGTTAGGGCTGGGAACAAGATTTGTCAGAAATTTTGATTTCTCCACGTTGATATTTAGCCCGACTCTTGCACACACCTCCTTGAAGTCATACAACATCAGTTTCATCGCTCCAAGACTATCCGAAATAAGGACTATATCGTCCGCGTAGCGCAAATTAATTGGGTTTCTGCCATCAATGTTTATGCCGTTTTGACTGTGATGAACAATTTGGGTTCAGCATTGTATCGCCTTGTCTTATTGACTACTTTTACTCTCTTCAGTGCTTTCATTGTAGCATTCTTGTAGATGTTATAAATAAGTTTGCTGTGTCGATAATCGACTCTGCATTATTGAAGTGCTTGCAAAACTGCCAGTTTCTCGATTTAAATTCATGATGTGATATAAGTAAGGAAGAATTATTGAACTACATAGTACTAGCATTTTTTTACTAATTTTATCATTACCAATTGATTCAGTTTTAATGGAAAGTAATAAGTAATTACTATTGCTTTAGATTCGTACATTGTCATCATTGCCAAACTGACGAGTTTCTTTGAAATACCTTGCTTTATCAGTATTAATTGTGCTTTCGGTCGGTTTACACTATCGAAGACTAGTCTGAAGTCGATGAACATTAAATGCTGAAACATTAAATGTTTCAGAACAAACTGTTGATCAGTCGTAGATCTTGCAGTCCGGAATCCGCATAGACGTTTTAAGCAGCCTAATCGGCCTATAGATTTCATAACTTAATCTACCACCCTTTTTGTGTATTGGGCATATAAGACAAGTTTTCCAGTCTTTTGGCATTACCCCATTTTGCTATATAATACATGTCATATTATGTTATGTAGCTTAGAGATAAATATGTCGCTTCCATTTTTAATTAACTCGATGGTGATATTATTTTCTCCAGAGGATCTGCTATTCTTCAACTTCAATATACCTGCCTTCACTTCGTTAGCTGTTGGGGTTTCTATTTTAGATTCCACGGTGACGTAGCTTGTCCAGAGTTATCGTTTTCATCTTCATTGATCTGGTTGTTCAAAGCTTCCTTGTTGAAAAAATGAACCCCATCAGAACTTTTTATTGTGTCTAAATTTTTTGATTTAAAGACATTCAATCTACAACTTTTTTGTATCTTAACCAATTGTTACGGTTAATGAAACTTTACGACCTTGGAATACAAGTAACTATTTATGAACTACAATACTCAATAACGAATTTAAATTAACACTTTAAATTTCATTCAAAACTTTACTTAAGGTATAATGAAAACGAAAAATTCCCCTTGTACACAATATGGAAGGATTCAAAAAAATTATTTAACATTTTTTAATAAAAAAAAAAGAAATTTAATTAAAAATAAACGTTTGTTTTTGAAACTCCACAATCGTCTTTGAGTTAAAAACGCACAAGTTGCGTAACAACTCCAAAATTAAACCTTAAAACAATTTATTATCAACGTTTCACTTGCATATCTAAAAAGTTTTGGAACGAATTGCGGTCACCTGATTGGCAGTAACATTATTTTTTAGTCGCGCGCACATTGTACCAATTTAAAAATAAAAATATCGTCGAAATCGACCGAGAATCCACAGCGGGGTCAAATTCAAAAAAATGACGGAAACGTCTGATCAAACTCAACGACGACCTTTGTCTCCTCTACGCAATACCGTTTCAAATTTCAATTTTATTTTCACGGCAAGCAATTCGTCCTAGATTTCTATTTTTTTATCTTGACTCGAGCAATCGTCGTTGTCGTTCCATTCACATTCTAGCCTCGAAAGTTTTAAGTTATTATGACTAATCGGAAACGATTTAAAGGTAATTTTCTTTTAAACATAATAATATCGGTTATAGGATTCCCCGTGAACAAGAAATTAGTCACGATATATTATAAGATTAAATAGACGTTTAAAACGCAATATTGCGCAATCGCTTCAACAACGAGACATCTATAATTTCACTCGACGTCAAAATGTGGGCGTTTTCTTAACAGATAAGCACAATAATTGCAACATTCTCAATTATGTACTCCACTTAATAATCCATAGGTCAAAATGTAACAATTTATAAGGTCGCCGATCTTTTTTTATTAATTAGATAGGTTACAAAAGTCGATTATTTTTGTAATTATGAGGTTTCTAATAGTACATGAGACGACCTTCACCTTTTTTCTACTTCAAAGGACAATATCAATTGTTAAAAAAAATTTTTATAACAAAGGTCAATTACATCGATTATAGTTAAATAAATAGAGGAAAGTTTTAAAATAATTCTTTTAGTTTGTGAACCAATTTAGTTGATAGCGAATTACAACTAAACTTTCCATTAAGATATTTTAAATCAACAATAAAGATGTTTACAAAACGACTTATTTAGACTTAGAAGTTATTTATTTTAGTTATTAACGCCATTATTGTATCAAAAAGGATTTTCTAAACAATAAAAAAAATTAAATCAACAATTTTTGTTGAAAAAAAAATGCTAATAAGAAGTGTGATGCTTTTTGGCGTGGAGATGACGTAAAAAATGTGATATCAATAAATAAAAAGGTTGAAAACATTTTTTAAATAATAACATAATCATAAATTTGAATTAAATTGCATCTAATAAACACCATATCACGTTCAAATAATAAAACCGAAAATCTTGTCACGTTTTAAACCTTTAAATTTTTAACGCCTTCATAAAGTGACTTTATCTAATCAAAATAAAAACGGAATATATCAAATAAATCACCTTAAACGCACATTCAAGGCGAGGATCAATTAGTATTGTATGCAAAGGCTGATTTAATTAATATAATAATCAACATCATATGACTTAATCATCTGGTTTTATAGCAAATATTTTATTGTATAAATAAATTAAATGTATATTTATAATGTTATATATGGTTGTTTTTTATGAAGAAAATTATATTTTACATTTTCAATTTATTGTATGTATACAATTATTATAGTCGAGTGATATTATTTGTTATAATATTGTATTGTACTTTTGAAAATGCTTATTCATTCAAAATTATTAAAATAAATATATGAAAATTTTAATGTTATAAATTATGTATTGAGGTTGACGTTTGAATAAATTAAAATTAAGAAAAAGCAGGTGGATATGGAGTTTGAAAACCGTGCACAAATGAGAAGAATGAAACATTAATGTTTTATCAACTATCAATTTGTATTAAGGGAATTACAACCATCATCATTTGTGGAACAATCTGTTGTGGATCTTGGCCATAGAATAACCAGAGAAGACACTGATGTTGGTTCCTTTGATGTTGGAGGAACCTCATCTTTGACCTGGATTTAAATTCTGTCATCTTTAAGAAGGGAAACCAACCAAAGGCACACCAATAACAACAAGGTGTCCATCATAAAGCATAAACTCTGTGTCTTGGCCTCCTCTAGAAATTTCTAGAGGTCTTGTAACGATGTAATGTATTTCTAGGTGTCAACCCCCTTTCTAGGAGGAAAGAATACTAACTACACTAGTATGACTTCTACGGGTCAAAAACCCAAAGCATATCGCAGTGGAGTAGGTCTAAATCGCGTTCTCGTTGAGCTGATAATAACGGATTGTGTTGGAATCACGAGCAATCCATAACTAGTTATTTTGCCCAAACACCTTTCCGATGCCTCTTCATATAAAGTTGTGACACCCTTACTTTCTGTGGGCATTACATATGACGTTTTGTGGCGGTTTCCAAAATCATAATTGGTGTTGGTTTCCTAGATTACTACTCATAGTTAGTGGACGTAGCCAATCTACATCTGATAATCACTGAAAGTTTCATTTATAGAACTTCAGAACCACCGATGGCAATTTTGGATGTTTGAATTCCCAAAGAAGCACCCGTCAGAAAGCAATGCAAGTCCATTTAGAGGCATAAACCCCGTTCTTTCAAAAGTAGTTAGACGTTTCTCCTGCATATAGCAGCATGCTGGTCAAGCGCCCTATACTGAAAATACAAAATTTCTCACAGTTCCTGCATGGCAAGAAGATTTTTTCTAGCATCGACTCGATGAGATCATATCACCAAATGACGGTAGTGAAAGAAGACATAGCATTTGTACGAATTTCCTTATTGCCAATGCCTAATGGAGAGTTGCTGCAATCCTGGGTGATATCCAACCTATATATTGGCGAAAGCTTTTTGGCTTTGACTTTGGAAAAGACAGGAACTGCGGCTAATTTCTAAATGCTTGAGAGAGTACTAACTCCTATCTATGAAACCCTCATAGATGCGTCCTTGGAAAAATGAACGTAAAACTCCTGATATTTAATATATTCAGCAATAAATTAGCGACGGAACTATCCTGTATCCTGTAACCGTCGATAAAGATGAACTTCTAGAAATGGGCACGAAATTGCCTTAATATCAATAAGTCAAAATATCACAACATACCTTAGGATTCAATCCTAAGCCATTTCATTCCTTGAGATGGAAGTTTGAACACATCCACATTGAACTAGGTGATATCAAAAAGATGCAAACTTTGTCTTACACACGTGAATAGATTTCCCAATTCAGAAACGCCGTTTCGAAAGACTTAAGACCAGAGCTAGTAATTTTAATTACAACTTCTCAAAGAACTCTGAATATACTGAGAACCAAACATTTCCAAACAACGACTTCACCAGCGATATTTGAGAAGTTCCACCAGTTGAACCCATAATGGTTACCACTTCTGGATGTCTATAGGGATTCGCACAAGATCTAACTTGCGTTTTAAAAAACTGACTGCTGTTCACATGTGTCTCTATAAAGCTCATTTCAAGTGGTGAAAGTTACGCAGTGACATGTGTTTAAACAAGATAATGGACAAGGAACTAGATGAGTTATCCAGCACCAACACGTTGCAACACTACAGCTTCAAAGCCCAACTATGATTTCGGTATAACACGGACAACCAGTAGCAGGGGTGCTGTAATGCAGATTTAGTTCTATAGCTTAGATCTGGAGCAATAAACCAATTCGGAGAATTTGGGAGAAAACGGCGTGAAGAATGCGTCAGATATGGAAACAATAAATTCTAAGGGATTCACATCTCTATCTTAACCATTAGCTGTCACGATCCCCATTTTGAGATTTTGGATTTTAACATACCTCACTTGGCGCAAAAAGTATACTAGCTGGGTTTGACAGTTTAGTGCTATTTTATATCTATTAGTTAATATTATTTATAGCAGACTGTATTAACCCAACCCAACGACCATATAAGAAAAAACTTAAAGAGAAAATTGTGCTAAATTATAACATTTCTTGTCCAAAATGCAAAAAAAGTGGGCACTTAATGGTTTAATACACCTCGAATTGTATGTATATGTTACGAAGAATGTTCGTTTTTTGACAAACATACATATCCTATTCAGATTTTGGCCAGTATAATCAATTTTATAGTATCTAAAATGGAATCTAGGATAACAAGATGTAATAAATATTTAAGCATTTACGAAACGATATAACAACACAAATTTTATGATGCTAGATTGCATAGAATAATGTAGATGAACTCTTTAATTTTTAGTTAAATCGCAACTACATCTTGACATGTAATGTCATCTAGGATAGCATTAATATCCAAGAAATTACTAGATTTTTATTAAGCTTTCTTGAAATGACTAGAATCTCATGTTTTAAAGATACTGGCGACGCAATACATAAAATTTGCAATAATGATCTTGATCAGTTTCTGATATAATCCTTAAATGTTGTTGATAACAATTATAGTATATAGAATATGAGCATAAACAGATTACGAAATGCGAATATTAGTATTTAATTAATGAGTCAATTGTTCTTAGATTTTGGAAATGTGTCAAAACATTGCGCGGCACCAACACGCGGCGTTCGCAGGACACAACTCTACCACGTGTAAGTTTGGACATACCTAAGAATATTTGCGCGGCAGCAGTGTGTGGACACACCCTAAGAACAACCGATTTTAGGCAATATAATAAAGCAACTTTTTCACTTAAGAGTTTTCTGTCACAGACTATAAAACTAATTAAAGTTGCAATTTAAAGGATCATACTACTTAAACTATTCTCTTGATGATAAAAAAAAATTCAGAGTAAGGTTGCACATCATAAAATTAAGCAATAATTAATTAATATCTCAAATAACAAACTTTAACGCAATGGATTGATGTCAATCAGTTCGCTATGCATTGTTTGGATATATTTTAGTTACCATTCATTGATCGCCATTTTAGTCACTATGGACAAATAAGAATTGGGTTGGGATATTCTTAGCCCAAAAGTGACGTCATATCCAGGCGGGAAAATTGCTCATTCTTTGCACCTCCAATACCAACATTTTATTCGTCACTTTGAAAGAGAATAAGAAAACCGTCAACATTACGCGAATTCCACGAACTTTTTGGAAACGAAACAATCAATGACAGACGATGTTGGGAGTGGCTTACTCTCTAGAATCTGGCACAAGCTTGGAAAATACAAAGAGGTCAACAATCGATTTTGACGACGTTGGCTTTTGGCAGGTGTAAGGACGAAAGCTTAATAACCTGAATGTTGGCTAAGACCACGTAAAATCCCGCTAATACGTTTCTGAACGTTAAAAATGGTGTGGTCGAAACCTCATCATAAATTATTAAAAAACTGGAAAACAAACAAAATTTATGATTGTTTGGATGAGTTCATGGAATATCTATGAATCATCACCATGCAAATAAGAAACAGTCATTTAAACAGGTTTCTATTATATTACTTTTCGTTTTTTATTAAGTTTGCTTATAAAAACGACGAATATTTATGCAAAAACCAAATAATTATTTGTATACCAAGGCCAGGATGGTTTATTCTTGATTATCCAACTGCGAGGTACTAAATTTTTCGTTTACATAACGTAAAAAAAAAGTGTATAACCAATAAAAAGGGACTATTTTTCAGGGTTTTTATGGGAATCATCCAAACAGATGTTTGCTTGCTAATTATTTATTTCTTGGAAATTTGGCGGGAAATTTTTAATTATTTGATGTTTCCAACTGACAATACATTCTTCCACAACTTTAAAACATTTATTGTTAAAGCTTTCTTGTTAATCTTCAAGTGAAAGTGATTGAACTTTAAGAAAATGATCATAACAAGTTGTCAAATACAAAATTTACCTTTAAACTTAAATTGTAATGAATTTTATTTATTAAACAAATTAACTTACCGCATGTACACTTGCAGGATCATTTAACCAAGCATTGTACATATCCTCAATATAACTTGAAGAGGTTCCATTTAAGAATTGTTCCGCAGGAGCTGGAGTGTTATAATAAATTTTGGGTGCGCTGCAAATTGCTGGGGTTGCGGTGGTTTGTAGAAGCCATCCAGCGAATTTTTGGGCCCCAGGACCCTTTATGGTGCTAACTATACTCCTGGCTCGATGCATAATACTCTAATAAGAGTAAAAAAAATGATTAAAAAGTATAACCTATAAAGTTGTGGTTATTTGTTTTTTTTTAATTTTTGATAAATTTGCGGGGAATTATTTGTTTCCGAAAAGGTAACCGCACAATTATTACGCAAAAGCCGGCGATTGCAACACACTACACGATCGGTTAATTTTAAATAAGATTTTTGGCAACGATCCGATTTGCACATTCACTAATGACACTAAAGTTTATTTGATTTTCGATGAAAAAAAATTTAAAAATAAAATACCGGTTAATGTTTTTCGGTTTGTTTAGATTTATTCGACGATAACTAATAAAATATGTTAAAAATTTGCTTGCATAGCGGGAAAATCGATATTAATTCTTCCTAACCAAGAATTATGTAACTAAAATTCAAATTTAATTCACATTACCCAAACGGCTTTTAATAAAATACACTTTAATAACGTCAAATTTAATTAAGATTCGATGGGATTTCCTTAATTTTATTTGATTTCACGTGAAAATGTGGTTTTACTGTTACCTTTTTCTAGGTGTTCGTAGCGATACGCTGGAACCTCTCAATTGAACTGACAGCTTATTTTTACAGAAAATAAATTCCCCTATATAAAATTTGCAATCCCCTATTTTTTTTTTCCAACCTACGTAACTTTTCACGTGCAAATTTCCATAGTACGCAAACGATTCTCGTCACTATTTCTATTCAACTGAAAACCGTGAGAATGATCGCGCATAGTTTATCTTAATTTTTATCAGTTTGTGATACGATACAATGTTACACAGTCTCAGGGACAAACGGATTAATTTCTCAAGGTTCAAGATCATTTTTGCTTTAAAAGATATTGTACAATACTGCTTAGGATTTATTTATTTATTAGTTAACAAAAATTTAATTAAATTATAAACAAATACATAATTAAAAATTAAATTTGACATCTTTAACATAAAAGTAGATTAAACCATATTTAACGCTTTGTATTTTTATTATAATCTTCAACAAATTCTTTTATTTAATTGATCCAAAATAACAAAGTTATTAATAAATTGAAATATTTAAAACTTTATAATCTAATGATCTTTATTGTGTTAATTTAGGTTGGTACAACTTTTTATGTTTGACATTTAAAATGACATTAAAAAAGGTTAGTTTCTTTATAATTAATTTATTCTTTAAGGATAAGATAGCTATTACAGCTAAAATTTACGATAAATACATGATTATAATTTAAATTGAAGTTCGGGCATCTTTGGCACATTTAACAGCGCTATGCATAAACTTGATGAAACCTGTATCTTTTGGTTTTTCTAAACCGCGCATTAGCCTATTTTTCATAACTGCTATAAATTCTCTATTACTTAATTGGCCATCCACTAAAAAAAATAAATTCGCAAATTCAAAACAACTAAATATGTTTTCCTTGATTAAAATACTTACAATTTTCATCAAATATAGTAAAAACAACATGAATAACATGATCACTAAGGTCTACATGAGCCACAGTTTTTGCAACGTGTTTTAAAGTGCGTTCATCAATTGAAGCACCAGCAATATGATAAAATGTAAGAGCTGTATCGACATCATTGATGTTGTTTAAGAAGTGAAATAAATTTAAGTAGTCTTGTTTGGAAATACCTTGACTATGTTCTTTAAACCTAAAATCTTCAAAATCAAGAAAAGAAAAGTCAATATAATTTAATAACTTACGCTTTTCTTACACGTTTCAACATTTTAGCTTTTTTCTTATGAGAATACCCAGCATAAGCCAACAATAACTCAGTAAAATCAATCTCAGAAATACACCCATCATCGTCTGGAAAACGCCTCTGAAATTCAAGATTTAAAATTTCCTTTTGAAGCTGTTCTTGGAAATCCAAAAATTTTTCGATCGTTAATTTTTGTTTAAGATCCTTTCCAAAGAAATAAGTAGTAAGCGCTGAATTAACACCCTAAAAGAAGATTTTAAAATACTTTTATTTCCAAGGGAGGAATCTAACTTTAAATGTATTTCCGGTATTAGCATGATCTCTATGCCTTGATCCAATACTTGTTTGTTGTCTTATTAAAGTAGCAACCTTTTCAAATTCGTCGCAATCGACATCGCCGTCTCCATTTAAATCGAACATGCGAAAAGCTATTTCGAAATGCCTTCGAGAAGCTAGAATAAAACAAAATGATTTCGAATAAATTAAGGTGATGAGAAGAACTTACTTGAAAGTACTGTTAATAAAAAGATGTAATCCGAAAATGTGATGAGACCAAAACTACCGAGTTTGTAGAAAATACTGTCTCTAGGGAGACTTAACTCGAGTTTATCGTGAACAGTCTGTTAAAAAGAAATTGTGTAATGTAAAAATTATGAAAATATAATGAAAAAATAAATACTAAACAGTATTTCTTAATAGGTCTAAGAGATAATTGCAAGCATAAAAATTGTGAAAAATATGAATTTCGTGCAAACAATACTATTTTTTAAAGATCTAAATTCAAAGAACAAGAAAGATTTAACTAAGAAAAAGAAGGTTTACCTCGACTTTATGCTGAAAAAAATGTAGAGGAGGAACATTAAAAGCTGTACAAATAATTATTTTAGGTTGCAAATATTAATTAACAATAATGTGATGTACAAGAATACAGTTCTTTTTTCAAGTTGAAAAACAGGTTTTTACACAAACTAAATCTACTTGAAAAAAAATTTATTTTATCAGTTTTATTTCATAGGATTTTCTTGCTTATAGGTGTTAATAATTGAAAGATAATCAACGTGTAAGTTAGTTGTATAAAGTTATAAGTAAAAGTAAACAATTTTATAAAGAAAAAAGGGATTTTATAACATACCTTTGGGTCATATCTTCTAAATTGATCCAATCCTAATCCTAAAAAACAAACCAAATTATTTCTCCAATATTTATTTATTGTAAAATTATAGTGTTAAATTATTAATTTAAGCATTTATTATTTATTTTTAACATGCAAAACGTAGACTAAAGTTGAATGTTAAAGTTTAATCAAAAACTGTACAGACAGAATGATTTGTAAGTTGTGAAAATCTCACTGTATAGGTGTCCCACGTAACACAAGTTTTTTAGGTTCCACTATTCGTACAGTCCGAAACTTTCAATCTAAAATACTTTCAAGATGCCCGCTATTTCCGGTCTATCGAAAATAGACCATAACTTCTTAAACTAAAACTAGAACTGAATCACTAGGACTAACATTAGAACTAGAAGCATTTGAGTTTAGCTGTGCGTCTCTTAAGACGGCTCTGGGTCTAGTGTTAGTTCTAGTTTTACTTGTTATTCACTGCCAGGTACCCACCTCGAAACATTTACGTTTAGCCGTCTTAAGAGACGCACGGTTAAACCCAAACATTTCTAATTCTAGTGTTAATTCTAGTGACAGTGCTAGGTTGCCCTAAGTACCACTAGCTAGCGCTAGGTTGTTGTATACTTTTAGCGAACTAAATCTAGAACTAACATGCTATCAAATAGATTATCATTCCTTGTATCAGAGTTTCTCATACAAGTGGTCAAAAATTGAATTGCCCTTTTCGCACATTCAATGCCAAGAAAGCCAAAACTTTAAATGGAACACTCCATGTTTTATTAACACATCAGAGAATCCTCTATAAGGCCCCTATACAGGGTGTGTCAAATGTCTGGAATATAGCCAATAACTTCGCCATTTGTGGTTGAAACTGACATTCTTTTGACATTTAAACCTGTCAACGGCGTTATTTCGGCGCCTACTTTGATTGCAACTTGAGATATTTTCAGAGAACGTATTTTTTCTCGATTTTTTACTTATACAACCCATGATTTGATTTGTTCATCGCATAAGGGATTTGTCCTATATCAAATTGCAAAAAAATGCAAAAAAACATATGCATCCCATTTAAAATAACAATTTTGGTTGCCATAGCAACGAAACAAAAAACAATACAAACAAGCAAATATTGCCAAAAAATGCGCCACGATTAATGAAGAAACTTGTATTTGAAACATTTTTCTTTAAAACCACCAATGGCGAAGTTATTGGCTATATTCCAGACATTTGACACACCTGTATACATTCGTATACTTATTTATTGCAGTTTTCATGATATTGGAAAATTTGTCAAAATTATACATAGAATGCCAGAAACCACAATGGGCACATTCAATAAAGACTTCAACTTTCTTACAGGCAAAATATGTAGATGCCTACAAAAGGGGTTGAACAAATTACGACAATTTAGATACAGCCAAAGTGACATATGGCTAAAAAAAGGTTAAAATCCTTAATCTGAGACGTTTCGGGAACACCTCCCATCTTCAGTCTACAAATAGTCACTCCTAATATTATCTCTAATCTTGATACAGTTGTACAATATGACGCACATACATGTATGCAAAGTAATTTTAAAATATTGTTTTTTTAAATCATCATATCAAGATTAGAGATAATATTACGAGTGACTATTTGTAGACTGAAGATGGGAGGTGTTCCCGAAACGTCTCAGATTGATTAATTTATAACAATTACGGAGGAAAAAACCTTTCATATAATAACACCTCTAGTTCAATTTATCGTTTAGTTAAAATCCTTGTCTGGCGGACTTATACCACACTTATAAAAACTATAAAAGCTCTTGGCGTATGTGTATCAGTGGCCTTTATGCTGCTGCATCACGTTCACTAATTTATCCTAACTTCAATCGACTGATTTAATGCGGACTTAATTCCAGCTAGTGTTGAAAAGCCACATCTCGCTAAATATATTGTTGCAAATAGTAGTAAACATTCCATTGCCTTTTCAAAAATGTTTAAAGCAATTTATCACACAACTATCCTATTAGTTTTTCCTCGTCTGACGAACACAAAATTACCTTCGTCTTTTAAAAACGAATTTTGTATCCACATGTTGCCTATGCGGATGTCTTCGATTATTTGAAGATAACATCAAATTCTCCTACTAATTCGACCTCTACAATTATCAATTTTTTGATGAAAGCTTCAACTTTGTTGTTGCAGGTACCGTGTACAAGCCATACGTTGATTTTGAAGTGTTTTGTTAGTGTTCGTAAGTCAAAAAAATATTTCCTTACCTTTCCCCTCGAAATACAGTATATACAGGGGTGTCCCACCTAAGTTGCCTCGGTGCATAGCCAAATTATGATTGAGTTTTTCAAAAAATGTTTCAGATAAAAGTTGAATCGAAGCATATTGTACATATTTTAAAATTAGTTTCAGTAATGGCGGACTTCCGCTTCTACCGGAAATGGATATCAACTTTGTTATTTAAAATGGAACCTGTATATTAATGCATTTTTGGATTATTTGTTTCATGTTTTATCAATATAGCATTACTTGAAACATCTGTGAATTCATCTAACTATAAGAGATAATATGGTGAATGTTTCAAGTTTTTAATTAGTGCAATTCCAGGTAATTTGAAATGGAATATTGTTAATTTGCACTACATATTTTTCACCAAACATTTTTGAATCATGACTTTATTAGTACTTTTCCTATATTAGACGCTTTTTTGGTCTTAACAATTTACAATGTCACTAAATAAGAACATTTTAAATATTTCTTATCTGTTCCAACATATTTAATCAAACTTCATTTATTCGCCGTCAATTCTTTAAGTTTTCCTTTAAACAATTCTGGTGGTCTATCTTTGTATTCAACATGATTAGTTTCTAAATGTCTTAAAAGTTTATTAAATTTTTAAGATGCGTCTGCTAATACAGTTCCAAATAAATACCAGTTAAGACAACATCTTAACGGTTACTTTTATTGTTATTATTTACTTCTGGCAAACCGGAAGTGAACGCCATCTTGAAAATATTTTAGATCGAAAGTTTGGGATGATCGACCCATACTAATGGAACATAAAAAATCAGCTAGTGGGACACCTGTATATTTATAGAGTCCCCTTTATATAAATTAGGTGAAGCTAATATATTTTTGTCTAATCCATCAATTTTCAATGTATTTAACTTAATAGCTGTGCTTGATAACAATGATAGCTGATTTAAAACAACAATTAAGTTTTTGAATATACAAATCTTTTCTCTGACTTCCACAACTTACTGATCACCCTGTATATAAAAAGCAATTGAATGAAAATGAAAGGAAGTAAAAGAAGAACGCAAAAACCAACTAACCATCAGGTTGTTTTGAACCAGGCGTAATCGATCGCAAAAAGTCCTCGGGAGTCATGTAAATCTCATGCTGATCACCCCCTTGAGCTTGTAGCGTGGCGAAATATCGAAAAACTTTGTCAGGAGTCGAGTACTGTCTTATGCGGTTTTCATATTCAATGATCTGCACATGCAATTCTTAAATAAACACAGAACGACAACAACAACAACGATTTGAATTTATTTTATTAGTAATTTATCCCCAAGTCCAATATTATTCATCATGTAATTAATTATGTTAGAATACAGAAAACACCTGTGCTTTAAACAACACCCATAACAATAATAACATTCAACATGATGTGCTTTAAGTGATGTTATTATGATATATATTAATGTTCTGTGTATGTGGACAGAGAGGATTGTTACCATCTGGTTGTTTTAATCCAGGCATTAAAGATCTAAGAAAATCATCCGGTGTCATAAACGTTTCTAAACCTTGCGGTGTTATAACTTGAATGGTTGCAAAATACCGAAAGACTTTATCTGGCGTTGAATAAGTTCTTATACGATTCTCATAATCGATTATCTAATATTTAAAAATCAATATTATATATTTAAATTAAAAATTCATAATAATAATTAATTACAAAGTATTTTTCAACAAGGAATTACATCAAAAACTTACTTTTCTATCTCTAAACCCAATTTTTTGTTTCTTGTGCTTCTTGTGTTTACCCTCTTCATCATGGATATGATGATCTTCCTCGCTTGATTCAATTTCTTGTTTTTTAGGTTCTTTAGCCTCCACTTTCGGAAACAATTTTTTTTGAATCCTAACCAAAAAATTATTTTTATTAATTTTTTAACTTGGAATATCTAAATTACCCTCTATAGTTAATACAGGGCAACAGCATTGATAGCATTATAAAGATACAATAAATCTTGGTTAATCTTGATTCTTTCTCGGTTTGGTGTCCAAAATTTTTAAAATCCCTCTTCCATTCATGGTTTTTACCAATTATTGTTAACGATAATAAAGGCCTGGCTACGTATTGTCTTGAATATAGTCTCGTTGCCACATAAGAATATCTTAATACTTTTGAAAACATTTTTTAATTATATTAAACCCTTCGACGGTGGAAAAATTGCAAAATTTACTGGGACTAAATGGACTAAATGCGGAGTTATGACATATTTTTAGCAAGTGACAAAAATTTATGCAACCGACATTACACACTTGGATACAATCCAAAAATTTAAATAATATTTTATTTACATTCGATAAATAAAATAAAATATTTAATAAAAAAGAGTTTATGTTGTAATAATAATCTAAATTTGATTAATTTTATCAATAAAATTTAAAATTATTCGAATTAATTATTATTGTTCATTGTTACCACACATAAGTCAAAAATAATTTTTGTTCAAATTATAATAATAAAAAAAATTTTAAACTTTATTTTGAATAAAAATGTTTATTTAATTCATAATATTGAAACAAAATCAAATATTTGATTATACAAACGCAAAATTAATTCTTTATTTTTATCTGTCAGATTTATTATTGTTATTTTAGTCAGTGTTGCCACACCTAAAACAAAAATCGTTTAGTATTCTACAAATTTATTTAATCTCGTGTTATTTTAGAATAAATTTTTAATATGGCAAATAATCTAGATGATATTGATTCCGAAGGAATTACAGACTCGCCAAAAAAGGGTATTTCATATTTCACCTTTAAATATTGTATGTTTGTGTGTTTTACATTGTAGGGCCTACATTATCTACTTCTACATCTAGTTTTGAAGCTTTGGATCCTCACGATCCAAATTTAAGCCGTTTAGCAACTACAATGTTCAATAAAACAGCTGATTATTTATATGGGGAGTTAACATCCACTTTAGAGGATTATAAGTTGCTTGAAAATATGAATAAAGTTACTGCTACGAAGTATTCTGATATGAAGCAGATTGCTAATAGTGTGGAGAATAGTATGGTTGATTTGAAAGAAAAATGTAGGTTTTAATGGTTAGTTTGATTAATTTTATGTTGTTGTGTTTGTAGATGATATGTTACAACCATTTTTGGAACAAATAGACCAAATTGAAGATAGTGTAACAAAACTTGAGCAAGCAGCGTATAAATTGGATGCTTATTCAAAGAGATTAGAGACTAAGTTTAAGAATTTAGAGAAACGATAATGCTGACATTTATATTGGACCACAATGTTATAATTATAAACTCATTCTTATTCTTTACAATTTAAATTTTCTTCTACAACCTCATCTTCTTTCTTTACTTTTTTTACAATTAGTTCTACTCGTTTTAAATCAACCTTTTCAATAAATTCATTTAATGCTTTATCACAGATTAAAGGATGCTCTGGATTATCAATATAACACTGTTTTATCTAAAGAATATATTTTAGTGTTAATTATAATCATATATATATGTAAATATGAACTTACCTTCTCTTTTTCTTCTGTAAATGATCCCACATCACCTGCTTCCAAAGTTTTACAAACTTTATTATATATCAATTCAAATCCAGTGTCTGAAAGACCGTAAATATTTGAGTGAACACTATCGATACCCTTCAGTTTTTCAATCCATTCCCTATCATTTAAATCCCTTGGTTTCCCTGCTACTTCTTGCTCAGGTTCAGGAGATATACCTAAAAGAAATAAATCATAATTTGAATTATGAAATTTTTTTCAATACCATCCGATAATTTAAGCACAGCTGCTTCTGAAAATGTGAAAACACTAGCTGCACTGGATAAATCACAACGATCACAACGTAATATGTTTCCCATGATCGTACTAAGAATTTTGCAATATTAAAGTATAGGAGATTACTTTAATTTTGACAATTTTATGATGGATCATATGTCGCAAAAACAACATTTTAAACATATTTTTTTTTATTGTTTAATAATCAAAACATGGTAACAAGTTTCTTAAATTAATTGAGACTTTGTTATAAAACTTATTAGATGCAAAAGATAACAAATTGAGTTAGTGTTGGCAATTTATGCTCCCATAACTATATTTATTTCATTGTATGAAATAATAATGTTAATATCTTTTCTATTTTATTTAATTTACGATTTAATAATATCTTTTCTCATAAAGTGCTTCCGAAATCCAAGTTACTTTGGGGGCTCATAAAATTAATGAAGCTGAAGATACTCAAGTAAAAATTACCACAGATGCTTATACAATGCACTCTGGTTGGGATGCTACCCAAATCATTAACGATATTGCCGTCATCGATTTGAAACAAGAAATCGAATTAACCGAAAATATCCAACCCGGTAATTTGCCAACATACGCTGATGTCGCCAATGAGATTACTGATTCAGTAGCTCGCGTCAGCGGATGGGGATTGGATTCTGACAGTTCCGACAGCATTAGCCCCGTTCTTAGAGAAGTTTATGCTATTTATCTTATATATCTTATATCATGTGATTTTTATCATTATAAAGTGTTTGACAAAAAAAAGTTTAATTTTTGATTGAATCTTATCGTTATCAGGATTGTTTATTAAAACAACAAACCTCTAATTCAAGAACTAAATGTATTACCTTTTTCAAATCCAACAGATATTAATATTTTTAATTATAAAGTGATTTATCGACTTAAGTCTTACCAAGTTTTGAAATATAACAAATACACGAAATTGTAGGCAGGCTTTAGTAATTTCTGTCTCATAACTATTGCAAGTTTTCCTATAACTGTTGCTATTATATATTCCATAATGAAATGTGATCAAAATTCAGCATCGTATACTATCACGCGTACAGCCACTGATATAGTGCTGTATCGCAAGTGATGCGCAACCCTGTGGGTATCCTGAACTTACACCAGCCAGCCGTACAACATTATTGAATTAGCAATATGCATCAGCAATACTGTAAAGATCCCCCAGGTCTTTCCTGCTATAATTTTTGCTTTTACAGTCATAACCATTAGCTCCAGTAGCACATGGAGTCTTATGAGCAGCTGTAATTCTGTTGGAGTCTTGATGCAGTAGTGTATTCCACGATCGGTAAGATGTAGACGTTCAGCACATCTCATAAAGATGTTGGATAGCAGAGAAGAGAGTTCAGACCTTCGTAGCAGCACTCCTGCAGTCATGGTCTTGCCCGTAGATTGGTGATACTCAACTTTGATTTGGAACATTCTTCCACATAAGAATGACCAAAAAAGTTAGCATGAAGCACAATAAGCATCTTGAATTGCTAATAATGCCACGCCTTGTCGGACGTCTTGGATACGTCTAAAAATGCTATTGACTCTCTTTTTGGTGTAGTTTTGGGGTCAAAATGGGTGTGTCTTTTCATAATAAATTTGTAACAGTAACAACAAGCCTTTTTAAACCCTTGTGCTATACTGACATCTATAATTTGTTAGCGTGAAAATGAATTGAGTGACCACTTTTATTGATAACTTTTAAAATAAAATTATTACAAAGAACTGAAAAATCTAATTATTATTTATTAATAACTACATCGGAATGATTTTCAATCCATTCAAAACATGATGTAACTCTTGTATATGCTGTTGGCCATCCCACTTCACATCCCGCAGAACTTGCGAATGACACAATTCCGATCTGATTAATAAAAAAATATTTTTACTCCAATTTTTATATTGTGAAATCATCAATATTACCAATTGGTCATCAAATATTAACGGTCCACCTGAATCCCCTCTACATGACCCAACCCCATCCACTCGTACAAATATGCCCGGGAGTTACATAAGTTCCGTAATAAAAAATACAATTTGCATTGGACATAATTTCAACGTCAACTGAACGTAAAACTTGACTCATTGAATTGGCAGCGTCAGAATCGCGACCCCAACCACTTACAACGCCCCATTCGCCTGAAAACGTTGTGTCTTTATCAGCTCTTCCCGGTAAACTAACCGGCTTGATATAATCTAAAAGAAGAATTAGTTATTTTTTAAAAACATAGAAAATTTGAATAATACTATTTGGTGTTATTGCTGATGGAAGAAGAATCGTAGCAATATCGTTCGTTAAACTTGTACTATTCCAATCACCATGAATGTTAAATTGAGTCGATGTTAATCTTATTTGAGTCGATTCTTCTTGATTTACTTTATGAGCTCCTAATCTTACTTCAACGCTTGTAGAACTATAAAAGAATCATAAAAATGTATCCATTTTATAATTAATATCTTACGATTTTAAACAATTTGCGCTGGTTAAAACATATTTGGTTGAAATAAGAACACCTCCGCAAAGATATAAGTCGGTTGGTTTTGTAATAAATAATCCAGCCATATAGGGAATGGAATTAGCTGATACTTCTTCACCTCCAACGATTTTACTCTCTAAATGAGTTGGTTTCAAAAATGTTAGTGATGACAAAACATTCTAAAAAAATAAATTTCTACAGTACATATATATAAAATTAATTTTTACATACCTTTGTACAACAAAGAATCCCTAAACATACATAAAAGAGGAGCAACATTGTGTTCTGCTTCGAAAACTTTTTTTAAATAACTCAATTTTTATAGGGTTTATTTTATTTTTGAGGAGTGCTGATAAAAAGATCCAACAAAATTATTGATTAAGAACGAAGGAGATAGCATCAAATACTCAATTTATACCCAATTATTATTGTTAAAGATAAAAAGAAATAACACAAAATATTTTATAATCATTAATCTTCTTTGTCAATACTCAAATTTTTATGCAAAATGTTTTTTTGTGTACAAATTAATGAATTAACAAGAAAATCAGGTAAAAAAAAGCACTGAAGGCATTGCTAGAAATATTGCCAGATATGTTTCAAGACTTTGCGAATAGCGAAGAAATTCCAGAGGCTTGGAAGAAAGAGTCCATACAAAGTCCAATCCATAAAAAAGGATATAGAAAGAACTATAATAACTACCGATGTCTAATAGTCACAAATTCCTTAAGCAGGCTATACAGTCGAATAATGAAAAATTTTATCAAAACTTCAAATATTGTTTTCCCACAAATTAACAGTTATTTTTCAAAATGAGTTGGTTCATTGGAAAGAGGACACTTTTATTAACACTTAGGTAACTATTCGGTATCCGGCCGGATATCCGTTCCACCAGTAATAACAAGTAATCAAGAAACATAGAGTTACGATTTTTTGGCAGAATAACAAACCAAATGTATGTAGTTTGAAAATGATATTAATTTAACATTGGGTAAGATTGGAGATACGACTGTTTACATCTCTGCTATAGATGTATGTATAACAAGAAAATACTTGAAAACCTTGCTTTTCTAACATAACTTTCTGTCAGTAGGTAATGGTGGCCGTTTTATAAATTTTATGAGTAGTACTGCAGGATATTTAACAGTGCTATATAAATTTGATTGTGATCACGTTTTTCCTAAATTATTTATTCATAAAGATAAAATAAAAATTTTTAGCAAAAAAATGTGGCTCCATCTATCTGTTAAAAAACAACTTATCTTTATAACCTATAAAACCAAAACAGCTACATAACCTCATTTTTAATTGTCAAAATATTAAAATAAAAATGAGAAAGAAATTTGTACTGCCGAATATCTCTTTGTAAGTAATAAAATCTTTATTCCTTTACTTAATTAAAATATAAAAAATTTCATAGTAATGACCAGACAGAAGATTCAAATGGTATCGTTGTGGTTGCTATCATTGGAAAGTCTGCTTTAAATACCAATGGGTTAAAAGTAAAATCCTTAGGTCGCATGTTTTCATCAAGTGATCACCATAAATCAGAAGTAATTGTAATAATATTTATTTTCCTTCAATCAACACCATATTTTTATAGAGTACAATTGAAGGTTTTTATGATGAAGAAAAACGCACGATTTATCTTCATGCTTTCACATTGATGGACACTAATTGTTTTTTGGAACATTATGAAAATCTGGTTGAAAAAAATAAAGAAACTAATTTCTTATCAATATATGACCAAGTTAAAAGTTCCTTTGCAAAAACTATGCTAATTTTATTCCATGTTAGTCATATAGTTGTTTTAAGCCACCCAGGAAGTACTTTTGATGTCAATTTTATACAATATTTTAAAGCAGTTGATAGTTTAAGGTAGGAATTAAATCAACCTCTTCATTATAAAGTAAAATATTGTTTTAGACAAAAATTACTCAGTGACATAAGTGACTCATTAAAAAACATTGAAAGTGTAAGCGATGAGTGGATTTTAAATGGAAGAATGTGTACCCCAAGATTGTTATTTTATTTTGAACAAAGCCCCAAAAATGTTACTAATTTAAAAAAACTTGAGCATAATACCGAAGATAAAATTTACCAAATTTTAAAGAAAACCCGTATTGTTAACAAGTAATTATTTGTAGAATCAAAATTTTTATAAATTACAATTTCTTTTTAGTTGTACTTCGTTATTTGCAATTCCTTTGAATCAAGAATTTGTATTTATGTCTACTGAAGGTTCTAACGACCGTCTTGGAAACGCGGTTCGAAGTCTAATTCAAAGCTGCCAACCTGGAGCAACATTAATAATAGAACCCCCATTTTGCGTTCAAATAGACAACGGTAAAAAAAGTTTTTCTCGTTTCCTCCAAGTACACATTCAACAAGCCAAAGAAAAAGGTTTTGATGATATTGTTGCATCAATGCGATTAATTTCTTTCCAACCCTGTCATTTTGAACTTCCTAAATTACACGTTTGGGTGCAAGTTTGCAAAACTATTTATGCATTAGTAACGAATGATTCAGAAAAATTGGTGCAAAATTTATGCACTGATACTAGATTTTCTGAACAACGATGTGAAAAAGTATTTCCCATCGCTATTGCGAGATACCAAGAAGGTTTACCAAGTCATTATAGCAGAGGTGTACATGAAACGAGGCTTGGTATTGCTTTAAATTTATTCGCGGCTCAAGCTCGTGGGCCTAAATTTGAAGAATATCGTGCAAAAATCGTTGGAAATTGTAAAACTTATTGGGAAAATTCCCGACAACTTTGCGAATCACCATCTTTAACAGGAAATCCATGCACTTTACCTAAACATAATGACGAACTAGAACACAATAGCGGTGTTAGATATATCGCAGCATGTGATTGTGGCAGAATACAAAGACCGCGTGAAGATCCTTACACAACAGTTTTAGCTAATCACGTATTTTTTAAACAAGCTTCAAAAGAATGCGCTTGTTCTGGTTTAGATCGAATCGAATTTGAAATGAAAGATAAAAATTTAGAATTTGAAACTGAATTGAAACAAAGAGAAGTTTCTTCAGCGATGTTAACAACAATTTCACCAAGGTCGTTCGTCCCAGATTTTTCTTCTTGGTCTTTAGTTTGTTTGGGCCCCTCATCTTTATACAGCCATAATTTAGGATTATTGGAAGCCCATCAACCGGGATTTTTAAATTCAACCAATTATCTTTTACCTTGGGATGTTGTCGTTTATAGCAAACCAAAACCGATTATTTCTTTAGATCAACATCTTGATCCACAAAAATTTTTATTACGTCAAAAACGTATTCGAACGAATAATACTCGAGTACCACAATTTACGGTTAAAGTATTTATTGGGGTTGAGTATGAATGTCCAAGAGGTCATCGATTTATGTTAGCTGCACCTGATCGAGTTTTAAGAGCTACTCCTGGATCTATTGTTAAGGACACTGGGCATAAAATAACAGAATCTGATATGCCTTTGTATTATCCATGTCCTTGTAGACCAACAAAACCTCTTACAGCTCAATTAATGAGATTACATGTTGTTACACCAAAAGCTTCTGTTTATGTTACAGTAAATCCAAGGGTAATTAATAAAAATCGTTAAAATGTGTATATTTAGTTCGTTTTTTAGGTACAACCAGCGGCTGGTTCTCCGATTTTTATAGCAACAGAAGATGGCCCAACAGCTTTAACACAATCAACTTATTGGGTTATGAGATTACCCTTTATTTATTCAACTGATAAAGAGAATTTTACTGAAAATCATTCTGGAAGATTGTTACAGGGTGTTTTTGCTGTTAATAAAATTGAACAGTAATAATTAATAAAATGTTTTATTAGATTTGGGTATAATTCACAGCAACATAATAAATCCTTTTTAAAAATATTTCAAAGCTTATTAAACAAGCAGAAATAGTGAATATATTCGGAATAAATAGGTGTTTTTTAAATATGGTTAGTTAATTACTATTCTTTTTGTTATTTTAAGAAAAAAATTACACAAAAAATGTAATGCGCATTATTGTTTCATATTAAAAAGAAAGTTTTTCAAAGTTCGATGTAAACATTTTCTTAAAATATCACAATGAACCATATTTATGAAACGACCATTATAAGACTATCACAATACAATACCTTAGCTGAAATTCAAAATTATTGTTTTAAAGAATCAGTTCATTGATACACGACTAGATAACTTATTAATAAACCCTCAACAAAATGTGATCAATTAATATTTATGTTAATGCTCTTACACTGATCTGTTGGAAATTACCCTGCAAAAAATGAAACAATTAAATGTTTGTCATTAAAATATTAAAATAATTACGTTAATCCCTATGTCCCAACCAGTTCCAATACAATTTTGTTCACAAATTCCCAATCTCCTCAATACTAAGCCACCATCAGTTGTAGCCCAGACTTCATCTACAGCGACACTAACGTGCTTAAATTTTGTAGATAAAGGAGTTGAACCTACTAAAGATTAAAGATTTTTGTTAAAGAAAGTTTTTTTTAATTAATTTTTTACGCAAAATTGTTTAAAAAATATACTGGGGTATTTTCTACATATTAATACACATATTGAGCATCTACAAGATGTGTTTTAAAATGCACCTTTTGCAACATTGTTCAAAACCACCTCAATTTTCATGGTAATTATGATTACAGAAGTTCTGGTTATCTAAACCTAATAATCTAATAAGATTTTTAAAATATACATCTGCAGCTATCGTCTGAACTAGAATAAATAAAAAAAACATCGATAGAAACAAAATGGAGTCAATTTGAAAATTTCCAGTCACCCGAGTATTGGCGGTAAAACCATAACTGTTTGGGATGGGAGGAAATGCTTATCCCGAGCCCTGAACAACATGGAAATAAACATGGCGGAGGCTTGGAGGGAAACCTGTAGTTGATCTAATCACCTGCACAGTGTATTTAATGATTCAGAGTCAAGACGATAACCTTGGATATAGACGGATTAATAGAAAACAACAGTGCAAAAAATGTGTATTACGAATGGGTACATGGAATATCAAGACAATAACTGGGAAAGAGGTGGAGATTGTGGAGAAAATGAGAAAGTATAAGAAAAACGAAAATATAGGAAAACCTATGCACACATTACCTGGAAATTATTTCCTCAGATATGTAGGAGTTCCACATTATGGGAGGCAGTGAACTCCAGTATTCTATGGGTGAATTGGAAATTCCAGTCACGCTTATTCAGGTGTATGCTCCAATTGAAGATTCAGACATGCCAGAGAAGAAAGTTTTCTTTGAGGTGCCGCAGAGACAAATCGATCTGAACGGTAGAGTGGGAAATAACAGTCTTAAAAGAGGAGACGTGCTGGATCAATATGCAGGAAAACAAATCCTCAACAATAGTGGCGACAAAATCTTGGACTTTTGTATACTCGTGATCTTTTTAAATGAAAATTAGAGAAGGATGGCTAGCTCGGAGTCGGGGACGGTCGGGTTGGTTTACTTTGAAACCCTGCGCAAGGCTAAGGGGCCGGAGTAATCACGACGGCCAAAGCAGGTAGAGAAAGAGTAATTTAGAATTTGTCACTACGGGATTTTTAAATAGGTTTATTGTAATAAAAACCAGCTAAATATTCGATTAAATTATCGAAAATAGCATAATAAATTATTTAATGTAAATAAAAGTTCCTAATTTAAATCAATTTTATGATGATAACTATTAAAATATAAATACAGAAAAAATATTAAATAATAATATTATTACAGTAAAACTTAATTTACATGATTTTCGATTGTATTGATTGTGCGCAGTTAATTGTTTCTATTAATGGTAAACCTCCTTGTCAATACAAGAATTCATTAATTTCATAAATAAGTTTTTTGATGATAATAGAGGACCATTCACCAGTAAATGGTGAATCTGAAACCATAAAATCCAATTTGAAGTCGAAAAGAAGCTTTTTTTCCCATTTGCTTTTGAGAATAATTTACCTTATATAGCCCAAATTAAATCAACTCAAAAAAATGCTATTTAAATGAATCGTTAACAATTAAAACGTTTAAAATGAATATTAAAAATCTACCCAAATTGTTCAAGACCATCTTACATCGTTTAAAAATCTTGTAAATCAGTTTACAGCGGCTCAAAATCAATTAAAATATAGTAAAATCATTTAGAAACTATCTAAAATGGTTGAAGATCAAACCGTCAAAAACTGTTCAAAATCCTGCCAAATCTTCTATACACACGTAAAATCATCTGCAGAAGCTTAATAATTAGTAAAATTATTTAAGATTTTAGTGACAAAACGTTCTATGTTTTTTAACTTTTGATAAAAGAAGTTTTGAATCACACTGTAATAATATTAATAATTAATCAGTATTAATATCTTAATATATTATCATCATGAAATTGATTTAAATTAGAAACAATAATTGAATCACATTAAATAATTGAAACTACACAATCAATACAATCGAATCAATTGTTCGAAAATCATCTAAATTAAGTTTTACTGTAATAATATTATTATTTAATATTTTTTCTGTATTTATATTTTAATAGTTATCATCATAAAATTGATTTAAATTAGGAACAATTTTTATTTGTTTTCCAAAAATCATTTTTTAATAAAACATAATACATTAAATAATTTATTATGCTATTTTCGATAATTTAATCGAATATTTAGCTGGTTTCTATTACAATAAACCTATTTAAAAATCCCGTAGTGACAAATTCTAAATTACTCCTTCTCTACCTGCTTTGGCCGTCGTGATTACTCCGGCCCCTTAGCCTTGCGCAGGGTTTCAAAGTAAACCAACCCGACCTTCCCCGACTTCGAGCTAGCCATCCTTCTTTAATTTTCATTTAAAAAGATCACGAGTGTACCACGAACCAGATAATTGTGGGTAACACTTTTTATCCACATAAACGCATCCATCAGATCACGTTTGAAAGGACTCGGTATGCGAGTATCGTTGACTATTTCATAATCCCAAAAGATATGAAGAATTCCTTCAGGGATATCAAGATTACCAGAGGTGTATTGCTTTCTACAGACCTGGTAGCAGATACTGTATTTAGGAGAGCGAAACCGAGAAAGAATACTAAGTACCGAAAAATAAGATGGCAGGAATTAAAGGAAGAAGTAAAGATGGTATCCTATCAAGAACAACTGAAATAGATATGGTGAAGTATATGAGGGAAGATGTGAAAAGCACCAGATGGTGGAATGATGAGATCAAGGCAGCAGTAGCAGAAAAGAAGGCCGCATGGAGGCAATGGAAGACAACAAAACAACAACCAGAGTATGAAGAGTACGTGCATAAAAGTAACAACTGTCAGATGCCTGCATCTGTCTCTCTCCGTGGAGGAAAGAATCAGTGATAAAGAAGAGGAGCCAATAACTCTCGACGAGGTGCAAGACGCCATCAAGAAAATGAAGAATAAAAAGGCAGCTGGGAAATACAAAGTATCAAAAATAAAAAAGGAGGAGGATACCAGCAAATTGGCAAAGGAACATAATTATTCCTATATACTAAAGGGAAGTCCACACGCTGTAAAAATTGCAGGGCAATATGCCTCATGCATGTCATTGCAAAGCTATACTCCAGAATCTTGGAGAGTCTAAGTACTTGTATTGAGTAAGAATTGGATGATGAGCAAGCGGATTTCAGATCAGGACGACAAACACAAGATCTCATTTCCTCCATGCGTTGTTTAACAGATAAGTGGATCAGCAGAGGGAAATCTGCACATCTGGCTTTCTTGGATATGAAAGTGATGTGCAGATTTCTGATGAACAACTGATGCAGGCCATCATATCCATGTTCCAGCGAATGGAGGGAGCGGTGAGGTTTAACGAGAGGATCTCTAGCATGTTCGTTATGGAAAATGGTGTTAGACGTTACAAGTAGTTATTACTACTTGTAGCTTTTATAAATGAAGTAGTGAAGATATCCACTATAATACAGGGTTTCCCAAAACTCCCGGAACGGAGCTATAAGTTTTGAGTGCTATAAGCTACAAGTGAAGAAAAAATTTGAAAATTTGGGGATCACTAAAGAGTCATAAATAATTCTTATTATTCTCTTGATATCTTATTTTGTTTGCGTTTTTTTTTGATGCAACAAGCTATTGCTACTTTTGTATCTCAAGTACAATAGTAATTATAATTAATTTAAATAAATAATTCAATTCAAATTGAATTTTGACACTTGGAAATGACAAATCAAAACAATCGGTTGCCATGGTTACGCTCTGCTACTGCTATTTTCTATATCAAATGAATGGGAAATAATGAAACTTTAATTAATTTTTCTCGAAAATGTTGTTACGTAACCGATATTAATATTTATTATACAACATACAGAAAAAGTCCTCTTTTAAATTCCGATATAAAAAATGGGGTGTTCCATTTAAAAAAAACTTCGATGACGTCATAACTCGTTTAAAAATGGCGGAAAAAATTTAATATACACCAAAAAATTGCAACAAAATTAAATCTTTAGACCCGTTTCAGCGATTTTTTCATAAATTGTTTATAATAATTTTATCGAATTTATCCGTTATTTTTGAAACGACTGTATATTGACTGGAAGAGTATACATTATACAGGGCGTGTCAAATGTCTGGAATATAGCCAATAACTTCACCATTTGTGGTTTTAAAGAAAAATGTTTCAAATAAAAGTTTTTTTAGTTGAGGCGCATTTTGTTTTTTGTTTCGTTGCTATGGCAACCAAAATTGTTATTTTAAATGGAATGCATATGTTTTTTTTTGCATATTTTGATAGAAGATAAATCCCTCTACGCGATGAACATATCAAATCATATGGTTGTATAAGAAAAAAATCGAGAAAAAATGCGTTCTCTAAAAATATTGAATCAGCAAATTACAAGGTAAAAAGAATTAATTAAAAAGAATTTTTTTTTGTCCCTGTAGACCGGAATCCCCCCTTAAGTCACTTATTATTACCTGATATTAGTGGATCGACCTCGATGCAATGCCAAACGCTTCCTTCTGGCCATGAATATGAAATATCTTTACGCACGTATAACTTTCCTTTATCAGAGACCGCCCAAACTCCAATTTGATTTACAGATATTTCTTTTAATGGATTACCAGGTGGTGGTTCAATACAAATCCATTTAACTCCTTGTATTAAATCCATCGTTATACCGTGTCGAACAAAAACGCTTCCATTTGATGCTGTTGCCCAAACATTATTAAATGGACCACAACTAATACTTGTTAATGATTTGTCTGAATTTACGTGCTCCCATTTATTACCCTAAGTTAATACAGTTTGATATAAGTATTATATTTACTAGCAAAAAAAAACAATTTTTGTTTACTTACGGTTGGATTTGAAATGGAAACTTCAGTTCTAATCATAGCTTGTCCCCCAGTAGCTAGAGCCCAAACAGTGATTAATCCTTCATGAACAGTACAAAATGAAACATCCAACAATTTAGTATGTCCCAAATCTTGCCATGGCCCTGTTGTACCAATTGCACATCTTCTATACCATCTTCTCCTTCTTACATAATCAGTAAAATGTTTATGTGCGTGATAACTAGCTGGAAAATCAACAGCATATTGCCATCCTTCTTTATCAGCACCACCGGGTACATGAAAATCCACCAACCAATCGCTAACCCATTGCCAATGGACTGATAATAATTTAACTTGATCTTTTGTACGTCTTTGTTTCCCCGTTACGTCACTCCACATGTAACGATCCGTTGGTAATCCAGCTGATGTGTACCCCGTAACGGGATTCCAACGTTGATTCTCGTAAACGCGATAATCTTGAGTATCCGCCATAGCTCGTAAATTATTACTGTTTAAAGTTCCGGCGAAATTTCCACCGAAACCTCCGTTGTAAACCCAACAGGTGTGATCATAACCAATCCCCCAGGTTACGCCTGCTTTACAAGTTTCAACGCGACGTAAATGTCCCCCAAACTGCCTCCAATATATATCTTTTAAATTTACGATTGGTTTTGGTGTCGAAATTTTCATTTTTTCTAAAGTTATTTGACCCCAAAATGAGATAGAAGTACAACTTCCAACAGGTAAGCGATGCCTGTAACCGCAAAATCGTTCCCCATCGACATAAATAACGTAATCTTCAACGTTCACTTCAATTTTTAATTCGAATTCTTGTCCTGGCATAAATGGCGTGATCCCAACTCTTTCTTCTTCACCCCATTTCCCATCAATCATACTATTTCTAACCACTGTCGGATTACCATTTTCAAACCGCGGATTAAAATGTAAACAACAATTTTCCAATTCGGTGTAATTTTTGTGTTTCGATCGAAAACTTGGATAAGCATCTAAATTTATAGCGAATCGGGTTATATCATCTTGTAGACAGCCGTTTATTATTATTACCGTTTCCGGTACGCAACTTGTGTGTAAGGGGATTTCTAAAGGTAACTGTTTTCCTGTTAATTCATAATCGAGTTCATAACTTCCGTGTTGGATTATAGTATCTTTTGCGTCGTAAACAAATATATCACCTAATGTTGTTACAGCCCAAACACTTAAAGAACTTGCTTTCCCTTTATTAAAAAATAATGAATTAGAATTAACCTCATCCTTTTTTTTTGTTTTTACCTCTTGTTAAATGAACCTCGCTACAAACAGTTGTAAAATGAGCTTGTAACTCCTCCATTTGAGCATCTGTACCAAACTGTAACCTAACAATTGGAATGGTTAAATTAGGAGTGTGAATAGATAATCTTGGGCATCCAGGTTCACTACAAGATTGAACGCAAGTTATTTCATTTAAGCTAAATTGATGCTGCAACATCAAAATAAAAAAAAATCATTTTTAATCATTGATTAATGCAATTATTACCATTGTCGTTGCTCCATCGGAATTTAAAATAGTTAAAGTTCCTGAAGTATGAACCCATTCCAATTGAACAACGCAATCGACGAAGGTATTACCATTCAAATTAACCCTAGCTTCACCGGTGTGCACCCAAGAGGAAGTATCAACAGCCAAAGGATAATCGTTAAATCGTTGATCATCGGGGTCAAGCCTCAATCGTAAATCTTCAAGAATTTTTAATCGCCATGGTTGTTCCAATTCGGCGTGTTGAGCGTTTCCTTGTTCGGCGAACCAATTTGGGAGCTGGTTTAAGTCTAATGTACAAGCCCCGGCCGCTACGAAAGACCAAGGAGCTTCATACTCAGCCCAACCCAGTTCTTCATCTTCAGCAAAAATGCACGAATCGGCTTTATCGCTAAACAAACTTTCATCAGACTCGGGATGAACTTCAGTGCCAACGATTGATCCAACAGAACGAACAGGACTCCAAGCTCTCGGATTTTTTAATTGAGTCTCAAATTTATTGCTCATATCACCAACAGGAAGAGATGTTGGCGCTGAATGGCTTTGATCAGTTATGTCGCCTAATGTTGTGTCGCAAAGACTATGAGGACGATTCTGGTTATAAAAGAAAATTAATAAAAAAAAATTTATTTTAGAATTAGTTTACCAAAGATGAAGTACTTTTAGTGCTATTACTTAATCGATCTCGATTTAAACTTGCGTTACTACTTGCTCTGCTAACTTGTAAAGGAGCATGTAAACTTTTCCATTTTTTCCCAGTTAAATCTCCTCCTGTTATTCCCGTTCGAAAATACACAGCTCGATCATCAGCCCCAACAGCTAACACTTGATCGTTAGCCGCAACCGAAACCGATGACATTTTCCCCACCATTTCAACCCAACCACAACCAACGGCATTTTCCTCACTAATTACAGCACCGTCTGCTTTAACACCCTTTCGAAACCAAACTTGTTTATCATGAGTTACTGCCCAAACGCAGCAAACCCCAACCGAAATTTGCATTATTCTTAAACCGTCCGATGGACCACGAGTTTCAACCCATACATTTCCCGATAAACATTCTCGAGTAACCCCAATTCGTACTAAAGCTCGACCATCTAAAAGAGCTGCCCAAACTAATCCCGTTGGACCTACACTTAATTGACAAACTTCACAACCGGGGGGAACTGAAACGCAAGTCCATTTTGCACCTTCTGGTGAACGAGTTGTTACACCAGTACGGAACATAACCTTTAAAAAATTATTTTTGTAAAGAATTTTTAAAAAACATTTTATTTTATCTCTTGCACGACCAAGACTGGACCAATAATTATCCTAAAACAATAGTTTTTTATAAAGCATACGAAATTAAAGTTTGATGTTATAGTCCTTTCATATGAGGAGCTGTTTTGCCAAACGCAACATGTCCATTTTTAAAAAATTGGCTTATAGATGATACTCAGAGTCCACAGTGTTTACTGAATCAAACTGCAACTTGATAAGTAATATCGATATGTATTACAATAATGGATGAAATATTAGTGAAAGAAGTGTCTGATAGAAAACGGCAACGTATCAAAGGAAAAGCGAGCTTAGAAAAGAAGAAAGCAAGATAAATCTTACTGCTAATCCCTTTTTGTACGTTTTGATTGTGGATTTCATTTAAGGTGCGAACCAAAAGACCTACACTTAGAAATGTGTATTGACAAAAAGTGTGACAAATTCGTTACTTTTTTCTGATTACAAAAATATAGGGTTTGACAGATATATTTCTTATTGTTTTAGAATAAAGCTAAAAATAAACTTTTTTTTAGTGTCGTCAAAGAAATTAAATTTACAGTTTTCTGTAAATTACGGTACTATGAAAATTATTCTACTAAAAATTTATATAAAATTTTCTAATATGTAACATTCTAACATGGTAAACTTTTCGTAATCTACGGATTTTTAATTGAACACTTCAGAAAATTTTTGAATACAAATGTTTCAATGTTTATTTGAGTTTAAAAAAATATATGAGCGCCATCTATCAATAATTTATTAAGTCATTTAATAATAATATTAAATATTAATAAAATATGTGAAATAATGCAATCTATTCCAACTTTTGTGTAAAACAAATATAAGTTAAATAGTTCAACAACTGTATTTGTTTCAAATATTAGAAATATGTTTTTTTAATTTTTAGTTATAATTTACAGAAAACTGTAAATTTAATTTCTTTGACGACACTAAAAAAAAGTTTATTTTTAGCTTTATTCTAAAACAATAAGAAATAGACCTGTCAAACCCTATATTTTTGTAATCAGAACAAAATAACGAATTTAATAAGCGAATAATCAGTGGTTGTTTCCATTTAAAAAAACGAAAATTGTCATATCTCAAAATCTAAAACCGAAAAATTTTTTTGATTCCGTTATGTTCCAAAGTAACATTACTTTCGTAGTAAATCGAAATATACATCTGACAATATCATGTCCGAGGCGCCAAATTGAAAGATATATAGGAGGCACAATTTCGCTCCATTTTACGGTACCCAAAGATTTAGAAGTTTACCGAAAGAAACATTGTGAACGCAAAAACTCCATTGCCAAGAAACCTCACCACTTTCTAATAAGATACAAAGTAAGAAATTATCTTGTTATGCCTATACACTAGTTTGTTTAACGTTTCTAATCTTGTAGATCTGCACAAACTGACAAGCGTTCTTGTTCTGTAAAACTTTTTTTGAAAAACTTCTGGAGATGCCCTATCTCGAAAATGATACGTCTAATCAAACATTTCTAAGAGTGAAAATAATTTTAAAATGAAATGGGCTTTTAGCAGGAAGATTTAAGGGTTTATGACATAATAAACAAGTTTTAAAGAAATAACTTTTGTGAACACCTGTAGCTGATGATGCGATAAATGTACGATCCCGTGGTGCGATATTTTCAATAGTGATCTTAAACGATTTCTTATGATAACATTGCACTCTTTGCCAAATTTAATCTTTCTAAGACAAACCATATTAAAAATATTTAAGAAAATGTTTGAAAATTTCTTAACTTCGAAGGCCCGTATCTTAGCCATTTATGGGTTTAGATCAAAAATTTTTGAATCGTCATTACTTTCACGCTAGTATTTATGATTAAAATTATGCCATGAGTTACAGAACACTTGTATATATCATATACAATATCTAGTTTTAATGCTTTAACAAAAACTGTAGATGGCCACCATACATGGGTCTAAACTGACCCGTTATGGTCGTCCATGCTCATTAAGTTATTTTGGTTGAAATAAGGTTGAAATACCAAATCATGCTTTTAAAACTACATCTAACGATAATAAAGTAATGATTTTGAACCTCAATATAACGAACCTCATGAATGAGGTTAAGGAAAAAATGTTTACTCAAAAATGGTTAAGAATTAAGAAACGAAACTTATTGAGTTTATAGACGAATGTTTGAGTTTCTATTATACCTAATTTTAAGATTCCAGGATGAATAATTTCTTTTATAAAAATATTTAAAAATCATCTATTGATATTTGACGTTTAACAAAAGTGAGGTTAAAATAATGTTTACCGAAAAATGATTAAGAATTAAGAAATGAAACCTTTTGAGCTTATAAAAGAATGTTTGAGTTTGGATTACACCAAATTTTAAGATTCCATAATGAATAGTTTGTTTTAAAAAATAAAAATATTTTTAAAAATCCCATTGATATTTGACGTTTACTAAAAGTGAGGTTAAAAAAAATTTTTTTTTTAATGGTTAAGAATTAAGAAACGAAACTTTTTGAGTTTATAAAAGAATGTTTGAGTTTGTATTATGCAAAGTTTTAAGATTCCGGGATGAATAGCTTCTTTTATAAAAAATATTTAAAAATCACCCATTGATATTTGACGTTTACCAAAAGTGAGGTTAAAACAATGTTTTCTCAAAAATGATTAAGAATTAAGAAACGAAACTTTTTGAGCTTATAAAAGAATTTTTGAGTTTGGATTGAACCAAATTTTAAGAATCCGTGATGAATAGTTTCTTTTAAAAAATATCTTGTTGTAATGTTTTAACAAAAACTGTAGATGGCCACCATACATGGGTCTAAATTGATCCTTTATGGTCGTTCATGCTCATTAAGTTATTTTGGTCGTACAAGAGTTAAAATATAAAAATTACATAGAAAGTGATAATGACATTTAAAACGTCAAAATGACACATCTTGTCAAAATATTATTTAAAATGTCAAAATGATTTTTCTTACCCTGTTATGAGATGTTACAGACCATACAAGCATAGTTCCTATTTCAGCTCCTGCTACAAATTGTCCTCCAATTGAAATATCAATAAAAGGTTCCTAAAAAGTAATTTAAAAAAAAATTCTTTATCCTATTTTTTTTTCTTACTGCTGTAGCATCTTTATGTAAAGGAGCAATGGCACACCATGAATTCATAGCAGCATATCGACGTGTTCTCACCCACAATCTTCTTCTAACACAAGATTTCCATTGTTTTTTTGGGTAATAATTAGCAGGAAAATCAACGGCATACATCCATCCATTGTGATCTAAAGGCTGACCGTCCAAAGTAAGTTCTAGTTGCCATTCGCCTTCCCACTGCCATGCCATTGATGGTAATCTAATTTTATCAGTTGATCGATCAATTGTACCATCAATGTTGGAAAAGTGGTAACGATCAGTGGGGAGAAGTCTTGATGAAAAACCTTCGATGGGGATCCATCTCTAATATTATAACAAAAATGAATAAGTTGATTTACTTTATTATGAGTTAACTAGGTATTTTTACTTCATTTTCATAACTTTCTTCTCTAACTTTAATAGGGACATCCAAACCATGAACATAAACATATATTTGATGATCACCACCAAGTGCCCATAAAAAATGGGGTACTGCAGATAACTTTTTAAATTCCTGACCTACGTAAGTTAACTCCCTCCACATAGACCCCGATGTAGATAATGTATGGACTCTTCCCTCATTATTTATCCCAAAAAGTAAAGAAGTAGGCATTTTATCCAATTATTTTAAGGCATTTGATAAAAAAATAAGACAAATGAATTTAAATAGCTATATAACCTAAAAAAAAGCCGATCGATATTAAATTTAAATATACAATAAATGATAGCTATAAAATGTTTTACCTTCATAAGAATAATAAATATTTATCCTATTCTTATTACATCCGTCCCAAAAAGGGTCGTAAAAGTAATAATCAGATCTTTGAATGCTTTTTTATGTATTTCTTTTATAAAGTTGGTAACACTGAATGTCAAACTGACATTTCATTTCAAGATTGAGGTCAATTGAGGTTAGGTTTTTAAAGATCGCTAATATTTGAATCTCACAATGTTGGAGTTTGAAAAGGAGATTTTTTCGAATATAATCGAAAAAGATGGTTTAGTTATAACGGCTAAGTTAGTAATGTCATATCTTGTTTAATAATTTTTTTCGTTTTTTTAATTCTTAGGGGTTTAACCATGGATAATATTTTAGTTAATCTTATAAAGGTGTACAGCGATCCAGGTAATTTAGTATTAGTATTAAATAGTTCCGAATTTGAAGAAAAATATTTAATGGAAAAAATGAAAGACAATGCTAACATTCATCGAATACAATGTACAATGTCTATCGTCGAAAGAAAAGATACTTATTTATCTGGAGGAGTACAATTTGTCACTACAAGAATGCTCGTTGTTGATATGCTCAAAAATCAAATACCCATCGATAAAATAACAGGATTTATTGTGCTTCGAGCACATTCTGTTTTAGAAAGTTGTCAAGAAGCTTTCGTTTTGAGATTATTCCGACAAAATAACAAAGTAAATGTTTAATTAAATATAAAAATAAGCTTTTGAATAATTTTTTTTAGATCGGATTTATTAAAGCGTTTTCTAATTCACCTCAAAGTTTCACAGTTGGTTTTAATCAAGTTGAACGCATAATGCGGTCATTATTTGTTAAAGAGTTATATTTATGGCCTAGGTTTCATAATTCTGTTATAAAAACACTGAAACAATGTGAACCCCAAGTTATAGAGTTGCATATACCCATTTCTGATACAATGTCTAAAATACAAACTTGCATTTTGGATTTGATGAATTTAACTGTACAGGAAATAAAAAGAATTAATAAAACTTTGGAAATGCAGGTAAAACAAAATTTGGTTAAAAAGAAAAAGTAGTTTTAACATGTCTTTTAGGAAATCACAGTTGAAAATTGTTTAACAAAAAATTTCCATAAAATATTACAGAGCCAATTGGATTGCATTTGGCATCAATTAAGTAGAAAAAGTAAACAATTAGTTGCTGATTTATCAACATTACGTCACTTAATCACGTAATAAATTGATTAATAATTTATTTTTTAACCAAAAATTGATTTTAATTTGTTATAGAACCATGTTGTATGCAGATCCAGTTACTTTTTACAAATATTTATTAGATTATCGTAGCATTGAATATGCTCAAACTGCAAACTGGGTTTTGCTAGAACCAGCTGAAATATTATTTAAAACGGCGGAGAGTTTGGTTTTTAACAGAAACAAAGAGTTAAATCCGGAATTATGTCCCAAATGGAAACCACTTTTGGAAGTGTTAAAGGTTGAAATACCAAATCATGCTTTTAAAACCACATCTAACGATAATAAAGTATTGATTTTGTGTCAAGATGTGAAAACTTGCCATCAATTAAATCAAGTATTAATTATTATTAATTCAGTAAAACCTTAATATAACGTACCTCATGAGTGAGGTTAAAGAAAAATGTTTACTCAAAAATGGTTAAGAATTAAGAAACGAAGTTTATTGAACTTATAAAAGAATGTTTGAGTTTGGATTATACCAAATTTTAAGATTCCGTGATGAATAGTTTCTTTTAAAAATATAAATATTTAAAAAACCCATTGATATTTGACGTTTACCAAAAGTGAGGTTAAAAAATTTGTCTCAAAAATAGTTAAGAATTAAGAAACGAAACTTTTTGAGCTTATAAACGAACGTTTGAGTTTGTATTATACAAAATTTTGAAATTCCGTGATGAATAGTTTCTTTTAAAAATATTTTAAAAACCCATTGATATTTGACGTTTACCAAAAGTGAGGTTAAAAGAATTGTTTTCTAAAAAATGGTTAAGGATTAAGAAACGAAACTTTTTGAGCTTATAAACGAATGTTTGAGTTTGTATTTTACAAAATTTTAAGATTCCGTGATGAATAGTTTCTTTTAAAAATCATCCATTGATATTTGACGTTTACGAAAAATGAGTTAAACATTTTTTTTTTCTCAAAAATGATTAAGAATTACGAAACGAAACTTTTTGAGCTTATAAACGAACGTTTGAGTTTGTATTATACAAAATTTTAAGATTTCGGGATGAATAGTTTCTTTTACAAAAATATTTAAAAAAAAACCATTGATATTTGACGTTTACCAAAAATGAGGTTAAAACAATGTTTTCTCAAAAATGATTAAGAATTAAGAAACGAAACTTTTTGAGCTTTGAAAAGAATGTTTGAGTTTGTAATATACCAAATCTTAAGATTCCGTGACGAATAATTTCTTTTAAAAATAAAAATATTTAAAAATCACCCGTTGATATTTGACGTTTACCAAAAGTGTGGTTAAAAATTTTTTTCTCAAAAATGGTTAAGAATTAAGAAACGAAACTTTTTGAGCTTATAAAAGAACATTAGAGTTTGTATTATACAAAATTTTAAGGTTCTGGGATGAATAGTTTCTTTTATAAAAATATTTAAAAATCACTCATTGATATCTGACGTTTACCAAAAGTGAGGTTAAAAAATTTTTTTCTCAAAAATGTTTAAGAATTAAAAAACGAAACTTTTTGAGCTTATAAAAGAATGTTTGAGTTTGGTACTATACAAAATTTTAAGATTCCGGGATGAACAGGTTCTTTTATAAAAATATTTAAAAATCACCCATTGATATTTGACGTTTACCAAAAGTGAGGTTAAAATTTTTTTCTAAAAAATGGTTAAGAATTACGAAACGAAGCTTTTTGAGCTTAGAAAAGAATGTTTGAGTTTGTATTATACAAAATTTTAAGATTCCGTGACGAATTGTTTCTTTTATAAAATATTTAAAAATCATCCATTGATATTTGACGTTTACCAAAAGTGAGGTTAAAACAATGTGTTTTCTCAAAAATGATTAAGAATTAAGAAACGAAACTTTTTGAGTTTATAAAAGAATATTTGAGTTTGGATTATACCAGATTTTAAGATTCTGTGATGAATAGTTTCTTTTAAAAATAAAAATATTTAAAAATCACTCATTCATATTTGACGTTTACTAAAAGTAAGGTTAAAGAAAAAATGATAAAGAAACTTATTGAGCTTATAAAAGTTATATCGAGGTTTTACTATATTTATATAAAGTTTAATTATCTTTTTTTTTAGTTCTTAACAATCGGTTCACATAAATATTTATTTCTAACTACATTAAAGCACCATATTAATTTTAAAACGGTCAGTAAAACTTTTAGTTCTTGTGAAGCTTTGAAGGAGAAATATTCACAAAATGGAAATTGCACAAAAGAAACGAAACAAAAAACGAATCTAACTAAAAATAAAAAATCTTATCCTATTTCGAAGAAATTAAAACCAAACTCCGAATCTGATCAACAAGAAAAAGAAACTGATTTATTAGAAGATGAAGATTTTAGAAACTCGTATTTACTTACAATGTCTCAAACAGTTTGTGATGTTACTAAAGATGATTTAAATGCATCTACAGTTGGTGAATACGTTTTTGAACCATGCGAAGAAATGGATAATTTAGATTTAACACGTTTATGCATGGATAAACCAACTATTGTTATTCAAACATTTAAATCCGATAATTGTTTATCACTTCAAAAAACTTTAGAAGAACTTCAACCAAATTACATTATCATGTATCATAGTAATATGACTGCAATCCGACAAATAGAAGTTAATAAAAATAATTAATTTAATAATTAAAATTATTAATTAAATTTAATTTTATAGATGTATGAAGCCAGAAGAGATCGAACCAAATCATTAATAATTTATTTTTTAATACACACAGGAACGGTTGAAGAACAAAGTTATTTAACTACGTTACGACGTGAAAAAGAAGCATTTGAATTTTTAATTGAAACGAAATCTGTTAGTTATTTCTTTCCATTTAAAAATGAAGTAATAATTTTTTTTTATAGACGATGGTTGTACCTGAAGATCAGGATGGGAAAACGGACATTTGTCTTGCTTTACAAAGAGAAACTAAAGAAGAAATAATTAATACAAGAAAAGGTGGCGGTCAAATTGTGGCTGATGAAAAACAATTTGTTATTGTTGATATTAGAGAGTTTAGAAGTGAATTACCACCGTTAATACATAAAAGAGGAATTGAAATAACACCAGTGCAAATTACAGTATGAAAAATAATATATACAGGGTGTCTCACGTAACTGGTTCGTTAGAACTTTTATAGGTTCCAGTATTCGTACAGTTTTGAAATTTTGGTAGTATGGGTTGTTCAGTCGGAACTTTCGATCTAAATTATTTTCAAGATGGCTACCACTTCCGGTCTACCGGAAGTAGACCTAACTTCGTTATTTTAAATGGAATGCTATAGTTTTTATTGCACCTTTTAATTGTACATAAAAAAATATGTTGACTTTCATAAAAGTTATTGGTACCTAGCGTTTTACGTTTTCGAGTTATTTTGATTTTAAGGTTTTTTTGACAAATTTCACCATGCACTTTAAAACCCTATATCCCAGCCAACGTTCATTCAAAAAAGCTCTAAATTGGCACGATTACTCGTCAGATGCTCTCAAATAGATTGTCATATATTGTATCAGAGTATCTTATACAGGATGGTCAAAAATTGAATTACCGTTTCTCCATATTTAATGGGGAGAAAGTCGAAAATTTTAAATGGAACGCCCTATATTTTATTGGCCTACACGAAAGGGAATTTAATTCTCTACAATTTATCTATAAACATTCCTATACTTATTTATTGTAGTTTCTCTCATAGTCGTAAATTTATCAAAACATGCAGAAAATGCAGGAAACCGTTTGTATTTTTATTAGAAGGCCATAACATTTTGACAGTTTTTTGTTTAATTTATTTCTATTATTATTTGTACTATTAACTACGATTGATAATCTTTTAGTTTACTAGCTTTTATTTATCAAAAATAACAAACAGAAGATCAAATAAATGAAACTATTAAAACAAAAAGTTAATGACAAAAATTAGATTTGAATAAAAATATAAATTTGTTATTAAATTGAATTTGGAAATGCAATAAAATACGTTAAATTATTTATTTCGTTGTCTTCATCACTGGTGACCGGAAATATGCAATTTCTTTTGGTCTCGATATATCCAGAACTAATAAATTCATTATCAATTTTTTGAAATTTTTCCTTGTGATGGTCGTTAGGTTTGTTAAGCATCTCTCATTAAGTGTTCGACACGTCTTGTCCGAAAGTTTATTACATTCGCCATCAATACAAAATAAATTTCAAATATCGGCGTTGGAATAATTTACCATGATGTTCAATAACTTACACCCGTCGTCAAATGTAACTAATGGCAACAATAATACAAACATGGACCAAAAACTGTCAACATTCCATAGCTTTCTAATAAAAAAGCCTGCATTTCGTGCATGTTTTAATAAATATCGCAATATGAGGCAACCTACAATAAATAGGTATGGGAATGTGTATAGGTAATTTGTAGAGAATTAAATTCTCTTCCTGATAGCCTAAAAAAATATAGGGCGTTCCATTTAAAATTTTCGACTTTCTCGCCATTGAATATGGAGAAACAGTAATTCAATTTTTGACCACCCTGTATAAGATACAACAAATGGCAATCTATTTGACAACATCTGAAGAGTAATCGTGCCAAAGTAGATCTTTTTTGAATGAACTTTGGCTGAGATATGGAGTTTAAAGAGCATGTTGAAATTTACCAAAAAAAGTTTAAAACCAAAATAACTCAAAAATAAAAAACGCTAGGTACCAATAACTATTATCAAAGTCAACCTATTTTTTTACGTACAATTAAACTGTGTAATAAAAACTATAGCATGCCATTTAAAATAGCGAAGTTATGGTCTATTTCCGGTAGACCGGAAGTGGCGGCCATCTTGAAAATATTTTAGATCGAAAGTTCAGAATGAACAACCCATGCTACCAAATTCTCAAATCTCTACGAATAGTGGAAGATGAAAAAGTTCTAACGAACCAGTTACGTGAGACACCCTGTATATACAGGGTGTTTATAAATTAGCGGATAATCTACACGTTAAAATGTTGTTCTACGACGTTGCCAAACGTGTTTTTCATGAAGATATGATAATGACAAAATGTTAAAAACGAACTTTAAAGCTAAAGAAAGTAGCTTTAACAAAAAAAACTAGTTTTCAACATTCTTTTTATTCTAAATTACAGCTTATTTATCAACAAATATTGAATATTAATGATTATTTATGGACAAATTATCCGAACATGAAGACGTATCAATAAGATTTAAATAACCCGAACATTTTATAATTAAGATTTACGCTTTAGAATCGAACGAACAACGTCGCTTGGCTAATGAACCCATATTGAATTAATCTGAAAATTAGAAATTAATTTGGTTTGATAAATTGTTGATAATAAGTGTAGGTTCTGTTTATCTATACAGGGTGTCTCAGCGAGAACGGTCATTAGACGTTTCTGGGGTTCTGGCCAAACAAAAAATTTGAGAATGCAGACTTAAGTATTATCAATTACGTTCTCTTCATCTAAAATATTTTCAGATTTCTAGCACTTCCGGTTATACCGGAAGTCGCCACGTACTTTATTTTTTTAAATGGAACACCCGGTATATTTTTACATATTTGGATTTGTCTGTTTTGAAGGTTTATAAATAACTTTACTTTTTGCAATTTGAACCAGCAATTCTCGAGTTATTCGAATTTTTCTAGAAAAATTTGCTCCAGCGGACATTTGTTCAAAAAATCATAGAACACTCAATTTTTGAGATATCAATTTAGGATTCAGAACATGCTTAAACAACATGATGGAGTATGTTTTGGTGCCGAGAACGGCTGTCTAGATCGTTTGGTCACTTTACTATGGTACGTTAACTTTTCGAAATTTGGAAGTACCATAACTTCATTTTTTTAAATGGCACCCCCCATATTTTATTACTTAGTCGTCTTCGGCGTCTCATTTTACATCTTTTATATTTGATATGTCCTATGCCTAACATTAATAGTTTGAGAAATAATTAGGGTTTTTTGAAAAATGCTCATATATCATATGGATCCCTCAGAAGTGGCTCACCCCCATATTTTTTTTCATTATGAGTATAGATATAAGAAAACCATTTGGAATGCATAATTAGGCCATTAAAACGGATTATTACGATATGAAATCATTCTTTTTGTACTTCCGGTTATACCGGATGTGAGTGTTAATTTCGCTATTTTTTTAAATCTACAGTGTGTCCCCAGATAAGTGAAACGACTCTAATAAAACGTACATTGTTTTCGATATTAATTGTCATCTTTTGGGGTTTAGCCCTGCTTAGTTAAAGACTAATTTTAAACATATTTTCAAGTTTAACTGTATTGTAGTATTTTTTCATAAAATTTTGACACCAATAGGTTTAATTTGTTATAAAGAAAATTAGCCAACTATGCCAAGAATGTATTAATTAAAGCATAGTTTTAAATCCCTTTAAATGGGTTAACTATAATAACCTATAAAGCAATATTTTTACTTAGAAATTCTTTCAATACTTTAATAACTTTAAAATCTTTTCATTTTAGGTTGGTGATTATATTTTAACACCAGAAATATGTGTTGAAAGAAAAAGTATTTCCGATCTGATAGGTTCGTTAAATTCAGGAAGATTATACCAACAATGCATACAAATGAGTCGGTATTATACAAAACCAATGTTACTCATTGAATTTGATCAAAACAAACCATTTTTATTCCAAGTATAAATCAAACAGCAATTTATTGACGAGCTTATTAATATAAAATTAATTTTTTTAGAATACTTATTTTCTTTCATCCGATAGTAACAGTTTCGACATTCAACAAAAACTTCTTTTGCTAACGTTACATTTCCCCAAATTAAAAATAATTTGGAGTCCGAGCCCTTACGCTTCCGCTCAATTATTCGAAGAATTAAAACAAGGTAAAGAACAACCAAATATTGAGTATGCGTCAAAAATTGGGGGGGAAGCTGATGTTGGAACAATCGAAAGTAAATATAATTCGACTATTTATGATTTTGTACAAAAACTACCTGGGATTACCTCTAAAAATATCGATGGGTTTTTACGAAATGTGGGTAATATGAGTAATGCAACAAAAAAAACGGAAGTAAGTTTTAAAAGAACCGTTTTGGGGGCTTTAAATTTATGTAATAAAATATTTTTAGGATGAATTAAAAGATATTTTAGGAAATGCCAACGACGCTAAAGCCTTTTATTCGATATTGCATGAGGAACATGCACCAAAAGAGAACGTTGATGAACGAAAAGGTAAAAAACATGTCACAAATAAATTTAAATTTACAAAATCAAAGAAAACTGAGAAAAAAACTTGTTAATACTCATTTAATTTATAATTATTTTTTTAATATACGTTTTATATCACACTTAAGCAGCTTTGAATTAATTAAAAACCCTTAAATATCCATATAATATTGATTTGTTTTAGCAATAATTGTTGAGTAATATTTATTAATGTATAATTATTGCTAAAACAGATCTTGTGGTGGCAATGAATGTGCTTAAATACAAATTTAAAGAATTAAATCTATCACAAACAATTTTAATGGTGTAACAATTAATATTTAAAAGTAAAATATAAAATTAAAAACATAACTGGAAATTATTTAAATTACCCATTAATAAAATAAAGATAAATCTAACTTATTTTAACTTGTATAATTAATATCTTACATAAGCTAATAATGGGAATCTTTCAAAAATGTTTCTAAAACCCTTAAAATTAAGGTAATCCATGAAGATTATGCACTTCATAAAGTTTTTCTATTCTTTCAAAAACAGTTCCTGTTACCTCTAAAGTTCTAGGTAAAACATTTATTGCATTATTTATACTTTCTTCATCATCCCCACACACCTAAATATACCATTTAGTTTAAATCAATGTTTAAAATTAAAAAAAAAAAAAGAAATTACCTTTTTAAGTAAATCAACTCGAGTTGGCATTGTATACATAGCAAGTTGAGCTCCCTTCCTGATTAAAAATGGATGATGTTTAGCTAAGGTTACATTATAAGCTTCACGGCAAACACATCCGGTATCATCTTCATCACGAATTTCTCCGATATTCTTAAGGAATAATCGAATAAAATCTAAACCTCTGTGTAATCTAAGCAAAGTTCTTGAACCCGAAGTATAACCACTTTTTTCTAAAAGTAAATTATTTTTTTCATACTCAATCATACGCTTAACGGTTTGGAAATTATCAACGTTTTTCGTTAACAATTCGGAGAGAATATCGATTTTTGCACGTAAATCGTTGCTGACAAAACCGAAAACTGTGCCCATTAAATTAAAAAATCTAAATTAAAAACAATAAGTTTAATAAAATGGTTAAGTTAACAATAGATTTTTATTACTCACTTATTAAGTTCTTCATAACTTTGTAGATAAAAGTGTAAATTTACGTCGTCGTCGTCGTGGAGGCTCGTCTGGAAGTTATCGTGAACAATTAACAAGTTAAATTTTTCCATTTTTTTTAAAATTTAATGTTAAATTTTGTGAAAAGTGAGAAATGAAATGATCTTTTTGTGATACTTTTAATTTTGACAGCTGTTGATGATTTTCATTCAATGTAACATAACCTCAAACCTTTCTTTATGACGTTTAAAATCTTTAAAATTGATAGCAATGTTGCCAACTTAATAGAGTAAAAATCGTTATAAGGAATTTTATCATTTTATTTACTAATTATAAATCTAGCTCTAATCTTAAGAAAAGATATGTGTCTTTTTATCATTATCTTGCAACAACACTTCATGTATTTCGATTTCTGATACAGATATTATTTCTTCTTGAAGTACCTATACAATAATAGGAGGAATTGATACGTTATGAATTAGGAGAGCACTACCATGGAGGAGAAGTATTGGGAAATGTGACACCTTCCTTGCTTTACCCGTAGCATTTTTAGTTTTATTAAAAGACCGAAAATAAGAGTATTTGTCAATAAAACATATCAATAGTATGGGTATCATCCTCAAGCATGAATTCATCCATTTTCAAAGTTACTTGTCGTTTCCTTCTTTGCTAAGTATAAACAGAACGAAACCACATCAATTCTAAAAATCACAAATGAATTTAATACATAATAATATATTATAATACTACAATACAGGAAGAAAGAATAACGAAATAGACACACAATAAAGCTGGGCAAGGATGGGTTAAAATAAAGAATGTGGGTTCTAATACAATTTGTGGTTAATTGTCTTCCTTAATAATGAGTGCTGATACATAGTATATACACCTTTTTCTTCACAAAAATATTCTTTTCCTCTAATAAGTTCTATTTAATGAAATTGTAAATAATTATTAATATAAAATTTCTATTAATGTTTAAAGGTCAATCATTATTGATAATAAAACGTTAAAAACATATCCAAAACTGTTTTATAAGTCAGTGTTTTGCAAGAAGAGGTAAAATGAAAATCGCTGTAAGTACAAATGTGAACTATGACCGTTATAAATGCGTATAAAACATTTCAGATTGTAACGTGTTTATATTTCTGTATTGTACTAAATCAAGGGGTGGTTGTCCCATTTTATAACCACAACCTATGTTGGTCCCCAAGTGGGTATTGGTACCATTGCAATACTACGTTATGCTGGTCTCCAAAAGGCTATTGGTACCAATGTGGAACCACACAATGTTTTTCTATAAATGGGTATTGGTACAAGTGTGGTACTAAAAGTAAGGATATCAAGAATTTATTGAGTACTTAAATCCACTGTATGAAAGACCTCGTATTAGAGTAGCATTAAAAGTTTGTAGTTATTTTAGATCTTAAAAACCAGAGTATGATACTCTATTGTATTTTTTTACTTTACAATAAACACGTTGTGGTTATTACTAAAAAATTGAACATTTTTAATTTAGATCATGCTTTTTTATTCCCATTCAAAGGTATTAAGTTGTAGCATGTCGTGCACATAACATATAATAATAATAATAATATGGTAGGTATATTTAACCATCATTTCCTTTATCTATCAACAATAGGTACTAAAAAAACATGATCAGGGACGAATCAAAACTCTTTTCAAAATGTCACACTCTTCTAGGGACGCGTCAAATTTACACATCTACTTTTCATTCCCGAAGCAATGGAGTTTTAGAGAAATTTCACCGTTCCTTGAAATCAGATCACTGTCAAACAGACTAAAAGGTAGAACAACGATTTGCCCTTGGTTCTCCTATGCTTTAGATGATCTCTTTTTGACTTAACGTTTTTATACTATAACCTTGTTCCATTTAATAGTCTTGTTAATTGAAATAGTAGAACATTTGATTTAATCAAATAAAAAATATGGAAATATCTCTGTTCGCTCCCCTTAAATGCCGTTGCGCATGTGCGACATTCGCCCTCGCTAAGTAAAATAAAGTTTTACCTTACAATAAACTTTTCATGTTGATAATTTCTCAATTCTTATTCACAGGTATTAAGTTGTAGTTCAGGGATGGGTTGCTATACATAGAAATTATTTATTTATTGTGGACAAAATACCACATAAGTGATATTATTCGTAAAACAATGTACAAATGCTTCGCCTCTGTTTCGATAAACAGTTACACGGGTTGTAGGGTGTAAATAATTCCATTGCTATAAGCGGGATGCCAATACCACACTATCAATCTACGACAACTTCAGATCTCTAGCTAAGTCACTTAGTTCTTTCTGTGACAGTTTATGGTTTATTTTGGCATCATAGTCGCTGCTAGATGACATATCTNATTCCGAGCCCTGTACAAGGTTAACGAGAGAAGACACTATGACGAATCGAATGACGTATAGATCATGATCATCGCGTACATCGTTTACGAGTTATCACCACTTAAAAAAGGTCATTTTTGTGTTATTTTCGTGTACCTTCGCATTATGAGGGCGTTTTAGCGAAATTCGAAAGAGATTTCGAATCGAATTCCACTTTCGTATTGGTCAAAGATTAAGCTTTCGAATGAGACATTGTTTATCGAAATCGGTTGACTGGTTCTCTTGTTATAACCAAAATACTATACATGTAAAATCCTATCTAATTGGGGGCTAGAAAAAATGGAGGCTAACTTCGCATTGGTCATACGAAGCTAGGTGTCCAGGGCTTGTCTAAATACGTCAAAGCAAACCCAAAATAATGAGAATACGCCTGTTTTATAACAATTGTAATTGGTCGTCCCGTCATCCCAATAATGTATTGTCCGCAAATAAAACAGAACAAATTAGGATTGTTCTTGCATTTAAAACTTCTGCTGCTGCTAGCCATTATCAACAAAACTTTTACAACACTTTGATATTTTCTTAAACGAAAGATCACTGAGGTGTCTCAAGAAGAACTAAATATTATGACAACATATTTTCCTTTTATACCAAAAAACATTTCAAAAAAAGACTGTTTAGTAGAACTATATATTAGAATATATAAAGAAGTGAAGTTATTAAAAAACACTTTTTCACAGAAAGTGGTTGTTTTTTAACAATGAGAATTTCTTTTGCCAAAAAAGGTCTAACAGGTAAACGCGCGAGTTCTTAAAAACTTTTTCAAAGAATGTTATTGGTTGTTGTATTTAAAAAAAATAATAATATTTATTTCAGTGAATTTAATGTTTATACTTAGTGCCTGAATAGTTAAAACACCTCTTTATTAAAAAAAGTTGTTCGTAATAATGTTTCAATAATACAGTGAAAATGGCAAAAAATGAAATTTTGCACGATTGTCATAAATTAACGATATCTTCGGTAAAATACATTCGACCATGGTGTCCAAGGCTTCGAAATTTAGAGAATTAAATGTTCTATTCTACAGGATAAAATAGCTAACTTTTTTGTTCATATATAATTCTTTTTCGTTACGGTGCGATTAAGTGATAAAAAATGGGAAAAATGCTTGATTTTGTTGAGTTGTTTTAGGCTGTAGCAAATTAATGGAGAGTCCGATTTAAGCCATCAATACCTCAAAATGTTCGTCTGGATCTCTACTTTCATGTCCATGTAGCTACAGAAGCACACTATGCAAAATAAAAAATATACTGAACATGAACCGTTACTATGTTTTTTAATTTACGATTTTCCACATTTTTTTGNTTATTCGAATTTTTCTAGAAAAATCTGCTCCAGCAGACATTTGTTCAAAAAATCAGAGAACACTCGATTTTTGGGATATCAATTTAGGATTGAGAACATGCTTAAGCAACATGGCACACTATTCATTTTTCTCAATTGATTTTGTTGAGTTTTTTTAGGCTGTAGCAAATTAAAAACTGGACGTGATGGAGAAAAACTGAAGACAGTTTCATTCTACGTTATAAAAACAATTTCGCAATCTTCGAGGAAAAAATTGATTAAAATTTGTTATAATATTTATGTTATAATTTTTAAAATTGAAGAAAAAAAAATCAAATGTTAATTGTATATAGATTTCTTCTATGTTACATATAACCTTAATTACCCCCTAAAATCTTAACATAAAAAATATTTCTCCTAAAATATGTTATAACACAATTGAACTTCCACTTTGATGCTTATAACAATAATCTCTTCCCGGTGTAGAAAATAATTTACATGGAGCACCAATTCTTGTGAGTGCTTTACAGGGTGATTTTAACGACGAAGTATTTATATGTAACGGTGTTCGACTTCTAGATCTAGAACTGTAATAACCAGATCTAGAAAGAGGCGGTGTTGGACTACAAAACTCAGAAACATTATCTTCAGCTTCAGTACATTTTTCCGACGATGAATAATTCCCATANTATTCGTAAAACAATGTACAAATGCTTCGCCTCTGTTTCGATAAACAGTTACACGGGTTGTAGGGTGTAAATAATTCCATTGCTATAAGCGGGATGCCAATACCACACTATCAATCTACGACAACTTCAGATCTCTAGCTAAGTCACTTAGTTCTTTCTGTGACAGTTTATGGTTTATTTTGGCATCATAGTCGCTGCTAGACGACATATCTTCACTCTCTTCTCTATCTGATCACTTTCACTGGATTGCATTAATCGGTCAGGAGGATTAGGTCTTGGTAAAATTTTGCTGTGCAGAGTCGGCTTTTTGGCTGACCTTACATCAGGATAAACCAAACTTTTCTTTGTTTTTTTTGTTTATGCCGTCTAGGTTTATGTTACAGAAATAGCAATCGGAATGATCTGATATCTGTGATCATAACATGCAGTATTTAGACCTGTCAGCAGTAGCTAGTCTTCAGAAAACAGTATTTAGTCTCCACAAAGCAATTTTAGTCTTTAGAAAGCAGTCTTTTGTGTTCCAGACGCTATATTTAGACCTGTCGGCAGTATGTAGTCCTCAGAAAGCAGTATTTAGTCTTCTAGAAGCAGTATCTAGTCATCTGCCAAAGTTATGTATGTTTTCTCCAAAATATTTTATCTTTCTTTTGNACAGTTTATGGTTTATTTTGGCATCATAGTCGCTGCTAGATGACATATCTTCACTCTCTCCTTTATCTGATCACTTTCACTGGATTGCATTAATCGGTCAGGAGGATTAGGTCTTGGTAAAGTTTCGCTGTGCGGAATCGGCTTTTTGGCTGATCTTACATCAGGATAAACCAACCTTTTCTTTGTTTTTTTTTGTTTATGCCGTCTAGGTTTATGTTACAGAAATAGCAATAGGAATAATCTGATATCTGTGATCATAACATTGGAATGCCAAACCAGAGCCGGCGCTATCGGGGGGTGCAAGGGGTGCACTACACCCGGGCGCTGCTTAAAAGGGGGCGCCGGCGCCTTTTTAATGTTTTCTCCAACAATATCTTATCGTTCTTTTGCAGTATTTAGACCTGTTAGCAGTATCTAGTCTTCAGAAAGCAGTATTTAGTCTCCACAAAACAATTTTAGTATTTAGAAAGCAGTATTTAGTGTTCCAGACGCTATATTTAGACCTGTCGGCAGTATCTAGTCTTCAGAAAGCAGTATTTAGTCTTCTAGAAGCAGTATCTAGTCATCTGCCAAAGTTATGTATGTTTTCTCCAAAATATTTTATCTTTCTTTTGCAGTATTTAGA